ATGTCATCTAATGTCTCGGAAAAGGTATCAAGCTTCAGTTGATTTCACTTACTTTTCTTACATTCTACATTTTAAGCTTCCTTGATCTATAAATATCCATACTTACTCCCAAAATGGGACAAAAACAGCCTCCTCCAGATATATTTATCATTACTAAGGCTACGGAAAGGCTTACTACAGCCCAGGATTTTCAGCTATGTAACATAGATAGACATAGAAATTAAACACAGCTTCTTAAATTCCACTTTCCATCAAGTACATGTACATGTATACTATCATTTTAGACTTTGAATTCTAAATAAATTTTATTCAACACAACTGTAGAGAGTTCCTTGAAAAGGTTTTGAAATAGGCAACTTTAAACTGCACTACATTTGTAAAAAAAGTTCTCAAACTGATTATATAATGTATAATGTACTTTTGCCCCTACCTTTAATTCATTACTCAATGCTAGAAGTCTATGTAAGGGCACCAAGTTCATAGCTGAAAAATTCAAAAAAAGCAATATATGAGGTCTTTACAATACTTGAGGACAGATGATACAAACAATATTTTTTTTTTAAATCATGGTTACAACAACTAAAGGAATAAAAGTAAAGGAATATAAGTAATATCAATAAAATTAATCACATAGATTCGCCCAAGGTTTAACATTTTTTAGTTTCCTGTCTGTGAAGCTGGAGGGAACTATTAGTTTCTTCTATCCGTCTGTCTGTCTATCTAGTTGTCCCGCTGTCTGTTTGTCAGTCTGTCCCACTTGGTTTTCCACACTTTTTTTTTTCTAAACACTTGCAGATATTGAGCTGACTTTTGGTATGTGAGTGTACATTGATGAGTTACAGATCAAGTTTGCATTTCTTTCCACTTTGAAAAATGATTTTTGACGGAAGTATGGCTGTTTTTTAATTTTTGGTATGTAAGTGTATCTTCATAAGTTATTGATCAAGTTTGCATTTTGTTATGTCTCAATGATTTTTGACGGAATTATGACATTTTCAATTTTTAATAAGAACCAGCTTACACTTGCCAGTAGCGGACTAGTATTGTTAATGCCATACTCTCAGAATGCTTGTTTATAATGTGCTTTAAAGTGATAAAAATTTGTAAAGATTTATAGAGTGATGGCAAAAGGGTAGAATTCTGAACATCAAAGAACGTCTACAATTTCTTAATATATTAGAAATTTAATATTTGCATCATTTATAATCAAAATAGGTTCAAAAGTATATTATATCAATCCAGGCATCTAATACTTTTTGCTTGTATATGTATCATCTGTTCTTAGACATACAAATATATGATTTGTAATTTGTAATCACATATGCATCTACAAAAAATGATGGAAGTTTTACATTCCCCAATTTGTCTGATTGTAAATTAAAAGAAAACAGAATCAAAATTCAGTTTAATTATTGCTCTTTTCACACAGTATCAAGTAAGATATATTTGCAGTGCCTCTACCCCCATATTTTGAAATGAATGAAAATGCAGATTGTCATTTCTCCCTCAGTGAAGAAACAAGAGGCCCATAGGCCACAACACTCACCTGAGCAACTATGGTACTTCTGCTCTTCAGCAGATTCTTTTTTCTACATATTCTTATTAAAAACTTTAAACACTTTTTATAGACCCACCCTACCCAGGAGGACATGATTTGAACAAACTTGAATCTACACTACCTGCAGATGCTTTCATCTTAATATAATCAATCATGGTTTGTTGTTCTTTGGAAAAAAAATTTAAACACTTCTCCAATATATCCTATGTTAAACTTTGATCCCTCATTTCTGCCCCATCCAACACCCAGGGTTCATGATTTTAACAAATTTTAATCTACACTACCTGAGGATGATTCTATATAAAATTTGAGTGATCATGGCTTTGCTGTTTTTGAGAAGAAAATTTCTAAAGATATTTCCTAGATATTTCTATGTAAAAGGTTGATCCCGTGTTGTACCCCCCGCCCCCCCCCATAACCCCAGGGATCATGATTTGAACAATCTTGAAACTACAATGTACACTACCTGATGATGCTTCTATATCAATATGACTAATCAAGACATTGTTGTACTTGAAAAGAAGATTTTTTAAAAGATTTTTCCTATATATTTCTATGTAAAAATTTGCCCCCCTGTTGTCTTCGACAGGATAAAGTCGTTATGTAGGCTTATGTCTGTATTTTTTAAGGACCCCATATATTTCCATATTATCCCTTTAAGTGTCCTCATAACTAATAATGTGTGTGTGTTTGTGTGGATGTTGGTGGGGGGATGTTGGTGTGGGTGTGGGTGTATGTGTATGGATGTTGGTGGGTGCGTGTGTGCTTGTCATGCACAAACAGGCAAAAAAAAAATTTTAAAAAATGAATAAAATAAAACCTTCAAACTGTAATATTCGTAGGCATGCAACAGCTAGACACTTACTTTTTAAGCCTAACCTATTTAATTCTTTGATTTTAATGATTTAAAATTAATAAATTTAATAAAATATGTGAAGATAACGAACAGTATTCGAGCTCAAAAGTCCATTAATCATTACAAAATAGGAGAAGAATAAACACGGACCTCTAAGACATCAGAGGTGGGATCAGGAGTGAGCATTCCCTGTCGACCGATCACATCTGCCTTGTGCTCCTTGTAATGATCGGGAAATAACGGAAAAATCCGTCGATTTTTCTAGAACATTATGGAATTTCGTGTATGTCCAGAATGTTCCAGTAATATCTTGCATTTACAATTTTTAGAATTTTCTAGATTTATGTTAATGTATAAATACACTGTCAATTGTATGCATGGGTAAGACTGGCGTACAAGAAGACTGGCGTACAAAGAGACTGGCGTACAAGAAGACGGGCATACAAAAAGACTGGCGAACGGAGTACAAAGAGATTGGGATAGGATACTCTCACTGGGATATTGTGTGTAGTAACGGGCACTCTGTTGTATGTATGTTTGGATTCTTGCTGTAAGTTTGTACTTTTTGTTTTTTATAATTACTGTAAATAAATTGTTGTTAAGTTTAAGCTGTGTGATTAATTTTTGCTGGCATTTCGGGTTTTTCTGACCCATAACAGTATCTTGTACTTTTTGGGATATGCCAGTTAACTTCACAGGGGTGAAGTAAAGTTCCGCACAAGACAAAAGTTGACATTCGAACTCCACCAAAGATACTCTTTATATGTCATTAACCTATTTGATTAAAGTAATCTGAAATCCCATATCACACTGTCTCTAATTAACTTCCTAGTCTTTATAAGAATAAGAACGAAAGCCAAATATATTGTTTTCCTATACTTCCGACGCAATGCAAAAATATTCATTTTTTTATGTTTTCTTGCATTGGTTATCGGAAGTTTGAAATGTTTTTTTACATGCTTGATCACTATTTTGAAACAAAATAAATAATCTTTAACAGCAATGATTGATGCGAACAACAAACACAATTAAAAAGCCAGGGAAGATATTGACTCAATTTAATTACTAGTATCGTTGTATATTTTCTGTTTACAATAATCCGGTATTCTGTGTCAAATTAAATTGTTGTTTATGTTTATACATTGGCACATGAATGGACATCATTTAATTTGTTTATAAATGCTTTAAACGTATAAAGGGAACATTTCATTTTGTGTGTGCATTTTTTGTTCTCACTAGTGCGAACGTCAGTAGCATTAAGTACATGAAAGTTGAGGGACAGGAATACAGGAGAATATGTTATTCAACTTCACAAAACTTCCTGGTAAGTACATAATAATTTAAGCGACAGGAATACAGGAGAATGTTATTTCACTGCACAAAACTTCCTAGTAGTTTCTCGAAATATTGTTTATCACAAGTGATTTTGAGATAATTTTTTTTTCAATTGGCTTAAAACCAGGCTTCCATCAAGAATAAAGCAGTAAGTATTCCTCAGAAAAAAATTGCAATGGCTTAAATTTTCCCCTAATTTCTTGGCAAGCAAAGTACAAAGAAAACATGAATATGTTTCAATTATTTTATCAACTAAATCGATCGAAATTAAGCTGGATATTTTATTAGTTAAAAGTTTACATGACACGGAGTTTAAAAGTCCTGAAATAGTGATGAATCCATATATTCAACTTTTCTTTGTCAGGCCCGTAGCAACGGTATCAAAAGTGTCGGAGGGGGGTTTCAACTTCCCAAAATTATCTGACAAGCAAAAAAGGCTAATTTACTGTCCAAATCCTGGTATTTGCCAGTGCGCAACCTTACAACATCAAAAGGTGAGGGGGAAACCAACATCTAAAAGAAAATTTACTATAGCAAAATACATGTACTATACTCAGAAAAAGTCGGGGCGCCCCCCCCCCCCCCCCCCGCGTTCTACGGGCCTGTTTGTATTTTTTTTTATTACAAGTAAAATGAAAAAGTAAATTTTCAAGCAAAGAATTAATTTACCATTATCATTTTTTTTATGAAACTGATTTAATTATTCTGAGCATTTAAATGTTTCGCTAAAAGTTAAATAACAAACTTGCCTGATTTTTGTTTTAACTATAACACTCTTTTGAGAACTCTACTGTAGCTTTGTCCAGTCTGCTCTTCAAGCTACTCTTTCATTATTTTCATGCGTTACGCATGATTTTACTTTCTTTTTGCACCATATCACCAACATCTTACATTACTTCACTGTACATGCAACCATAAGTTTAGTATGCATTATTTTTAGAAAATTACTTACATGTAATTTGCATTACTAGAGTATACAGTATCATTTCTTATATCTTATTTAATCTCCACAGAAGAGACAGCTATTGTTAGTAATACAGAACACGTAATGTATAGGATATTTAGGGGGTGGTTAAGCAACGGTGTTTCGAATAGCAAAGTAGTATCAGTCACATTTTTTTAAAACCAAGCTCTGCTCCTTCGATTTACAAACATCTTTTAGCTTACTCTAAAAATAAATGAGGTGTATAAGAAAGTAATCTGGTGTATTTTTTTCACCTTTTATAGGTGCGATAAGCAGAATATATGTGGAGGATGAATCAGTGGCTCTTCTTTTGCGTGATGTGGAGTGGCTTCACTTCAATTGATATTGTCCCACTGTTTACAACTGATGGCAGGGGAAGTCTTAGTCACATGGTTTTAAGCAACCAAAGCTTGTTCGTTGGAGCCACAAATGCTATATACCAATTCGACCTTGATCTATACTTGGAAATTGTGATTATCACAGGCCCTCATAATGATTCGCAGAAATGTGGAATGAACTTGGAGACTTGCTCGGCCTTATCTGAATTGTCACCGATGGACAACCACAATAAAATTTTGTTGCTTCATTCCGATACACTTGTGATCTGTGGAAGTCTTTTCCAAGGGAAATGTTACATCATGGATATCAAAAACATCAGCGAAGTCTCTTTTCCCGGAAACACACCTGTTGCATCCAATGAAATTGATGTGAACACAATTGCATTCATCGCACAAGTTATGAATAGTGCTACAAAAAGAATGGAAACAATGATTTATGTAGCTACCGAATTGTCAAGGTTCGACAAGTCCAAAAATTCATTAGAATTTTATCTTAGACGATCCCATCCCCTTGTTAGTACTCGACTTTTAGATTTTTCACTTCGTGGAAAAATCACTTATGAAACTGAAAATAAATATATGAAACCCGGGTTAATATTATATGTTACTGGATTCGCTTCAGGAAATTACAGCTACATCTTATTCAATGAAAAGAATCCAGACGATACACGTTACAACACTAAAATTGTTCATATGTGCAGAAAAGATGACCTACTCAAAACATTTTTGGAAATACCAGTAACTTGCACGACAAATAACAAAACATTCAACATTCTAAAGACTGCAAAGATTTTTAGACCTAGACAAATCTTATTAAAATCACTTCAGGAACAGTTTCCTGACCTTACATCAGATGATGATGTCATAATCGGACTTTTCAGTCATAGTGTAGACAACAGTTCAGCTTTATGTCTGTTTAGTATGCCAGAAGTAAAAAAGACAGTTCTTATCAATATAAAGACATGCCTTAATGGAAACACAGATTATGCAGCTAATTTAAAGTACAAAAATGGATTAAAATGCACAAAAGTAGATCTGGTAAGGACAATAAATATAATTTTTCTTCAGAGTTGTGATAATGCTAAAAATGGAAACTTTATAAGGCAAGCACTTTTGCCAAGAATTATTGCTCTAAATTTTGTACCAAATTTAGGGGATATTGTTTTTGTCATGGTTCTTTTTCATGGATTCTGTAAAGGACATGCATTGTTGAAAAAGAGATTGATATGAGGTCAGTCATGGTGTGTGTCGGTGCCCATGACTGAAGATCAATGAACATTGATATAGTGAAATTATGTATGGTCTATATCTTTGAAATCCTTTAACTGTAAGAAATTCACTTTCATTTTTTACTGGCGGCCAACAGACATAACATGGTCTAGACTTAAAATGGTATTGTAAAAGTCAAGTTCACTGTAATTTTTGATTGATTCATTGAAGTATATAGATAGCGTATTTTTATGTTTTCGAGAGTAAGAGATCAAATTGACAACCCGAGAGAAAATCATCAATAGCCTCCAATGACGAGTTCGCTGACAAAGGTTTTTTTCTCGGGGTGTCAATTACAACTCTTTTCCTCAAAGAACATACTATTTGTTTTATTATGCTGAAAATATAATAAAATGAACCGTGAAGATAACGAACACTAATCTGGGCCAAAAGTCAATTGGAATAATGCAAATTTGGAGCAGAGTAAACAGGAACCTCTAAAACATCAGAGGTAGGATCAAGTGCCATGGAGTAGTAAGCATCCTCTGTCGACCGTCACACCCGCTGTGTGCTTCTTGTCATAATCTTGCAAACAGAAAATTCCGTAGACAAATCGGTGTGAAAATAATGACCTAACAATCTGTACATGTATTAGAGACGCCGGTCAACATTCAATTTAACGATAGATTGTATTTGCTTACAAGGTCATGCATTGACCATAGAAGTTGCGGAATGTTGATTTTAAACGCCACTGTTGATATCATTGTATCATCACCTTTAGCTTTAACATTAACATTAGCTTGCCTTGATTTAGAAATTGTTCGTAAGTAGAGCATTCTCGTGCGTATCGAATCAGCTGAGACATAATGTCTATTTGCTGATGATAATGGTAAATTGCTACATAAAAAAGTAAGTTGACGATAGAAAGATGAACTCAACACGTTTATGATGAGCTTTGTTGTTAGTCATCAATGTCTTTTTCTAGTAAAATATTGAAATATGAAACAGGTGTGTAAGACTCTGCGGCGTCTTTTATTTCTAGTTCAAAGGGAAATATCAAATCAACGTAGGAATGAATATTGTTTATTGATAAAGGTCGGTGATATATCTCAATTTCGAACTAAAGGCCCCAGCAGGATACTTTTCTTTTTCATGTAAAAGTTTTTAAATACACTTTGCTTCATATGAATACAAAAATAGATTTGCTAATAAGGAGAGCAATTAATACCGCGGGGAGTTCCATTAAATTGTTGGAGGACTTGATCTCCAAAAATTACTCAAATATTGTCAATCAGAAACTCAAGCATTTTTGTATCAACTTCGGAATTCTTGGGGGGTTTTTTCATGTAGAGTCGTTCATGATTGTTCGTTTTCTTTAAAATATATGTTATATGTAAAGTCACATACAGCATTTAAACATTTTATTTAATGGTGTTTGTTTGAATTTTAGAATTTTTTTTCTGATGATGAGTTGCTGTGCTCTAGTACACTAAATTTGATAATTGCTGGGAAAACTCCATTAATTGCTGCTCCAGTCATCCAGTTTCCATTAACACAAGACCACTTGGAATCTTTGGTTGTAACTTTCACCACAGAACACACTGTAGCTTTCCTGGGAAGCTCCCTTGGACACATCAGAAAGGTAACATACCAAGGATAAGTGAAAAAGAAATAGGTGATAAAATTGTTGCAAGGACAATCATTATGTTACATATTGTGAAACAAATGTCTCAGGTAAAATCAGAAAGGAACATGCAGCACAATTATCTCAAGTGACAATTTAGAAAAGTACATATGGCAAACTTTGTAAAGCTTAAGATACCACAATTATCTAGTTTCAATTCATAAGTACATTGTAATATGCTCATAACGCCAAATGTAAAGAATAACAAAGTAAATGTAATAATTTTTAAAGTAAATCAATCGCAGGACGACGCCATTGTAAGTAATGCAGCTGATGTTGTGATATCATGAAACGCCCACGAGTTTACAAATTTTACGAGAAAGTGAAAGTTGACATTAAATAAGGGTGGCGCAAAGTAAGTTGGACCAATCAAATGTTTAATGTAATTGCTGCACTAATCTTATGTATTAACTTATTTGATCAAAATTGAAGAAAATCTTTAGAAATGCACTCTGGGCTATGTTGGTATTTACGGAAGCCCGTTAGTGTAAACCGAAAATAAATAAAGAACAAAATTATTAGATAAAGAAAACGAAATTTTTAAATAAAAAAAATGAAATTATTATATAAAGAAAACGAAATTATTAAATAAAGAAAACAAAATTATTAAATAAAAACAAACGAAATTATTATTTATTTAATAATTGTGTTTCCTTTATTTAATAATTTCGTGTTTTATTTAATAACTTCGTTTTTTATTCAATAATTTTGTTTTTTTCTGAATAATTTCGTTTTTTATTTATTTTTTTTTTGGTTTGAACTATTGGGCTTCCGTAGGTTTTACCCTGTCTCATATAAAAAACTCTATAAAAAGTTGCTTAACATAGAAGTGTCGACATTTGTGCTGCAGTTGCAACAATTATCTGAATACTCTTCTTATTAGGTCATATTTGTGTAAAATGGAAAAAGATATATTCTTGTGCCTAAGCTGTTCTGTTGATCTTTATTTCGTGAAGTAGTGATGACCTTTGGCTTCATAGTATGCTGTCATTTGTATCGGTTATATCCTGTTGTGTTACTATGCATGTATTATAAAGTGAGATTAAACATTTGTTAAACTGATAATACGCCTACTTCTTACATGTTTAAATTTGCTCACTTACATGGTAATACCAATTATCTAGCCTTACCTAACCTGTGCAATCTTTAACATTTTTTTTAATCCACCGTGACCTATTTTTGAAATAGCTTTTCAAACCTCAATAGCTAGATATTATGCTTAGTTTGAGTCCAAGAATCAATATTTTCAGTGAATACATATTGGATGCTATAGATATTACGAGAGTGACTTGCTTTGAAATTTGTACCTATTTTTGGACTTTTTTTTAGGGGGGGGGGGGGGTGTAAGATATGAGATATATATATATATATATATATATATATATATATATATATATATATATATATATATATATATATATATATATATATATATATATATATATATATATATATATATATATTAAACTCCTGAAGATTGAAAATGAAACCGGTAGAGTTTATTTCGGTGTTGTGATTTTATATATATATATATATATATATATATATATATATATATATATATATATATATATATATATATATATATATATATATATATATATATATTCATCAAACATTGTTGATTTTGTATTTTGTATTTTTAAATTAAAGTACATTATCCTCAAAAAAGCATATTCAGAACTACTTTGTAAGCGCTAAGATTGCAAGTACTAATCAGTAAATGGACCTTGAAAGCTACAAGTGCTTTCATGTTTATTTTGTTTATTCGATAATTACTCAGACGAGATTTCTAGACCTAAAGCTTATTCTTTCGTAGGTTGCACTGCAAACATCCAGCAAAGCAGAATTATATGATTCCGCCATTGTAGTGGACGAGGGTCATGCGATAAAGCAGGATATGGTGTTTGACAATTCCCAGATGTATCTTTACGCCATGAGTGATAGAAAGGTAAGAATACAGTGCGTCGCTTAATGACAGCATTCAGGCATATATTTTCAGTACATGAAAGCATACTTTTAAAAAAAGGGAAAAGAAAAGTGATATACTATTACAACTGATAAAATCATTTGAAGTCTTTGTAAACTAGAAATTTGAAACATCTTTAACTCTCCAGGAATTACAATCAATTACAATCAATTTAGTAGTATTAAACAAAACCTTTAGTATTTTTCTCTAAAAGATACCTCCTTTATTACATAAACAGAAAATACTATTAAAAATCAATTTCTAAGAAAATTAACATCACTGAACAGTAAATTATTTTCAGATAGCCAAGATACCAGTACAGAATTGTAGCCAGTACACAACATGTAGAGGCTGTCTGTTAAGTAATGACCCTTACTGTGGGTGGTGTGTCCTAGACCATAGGTCTGTATCTGATTGGTAGGATCGTTTTGAAGGTCTTACACTCAAGGCATCATTCACCAGTATATTATCAACATTTTAATAAGCCTTTTCTGAAAAAAAAAAACATCATTTCTACATTTCTAACTCATTTGACGCCCCTTTTTGGTTAATGTAAGAGATAACTATTGATTGACTTATTGATTGTATGGCGTTTTAAGTCCTATTCGAGAATTTTATCACTTATATAGGTGAAGGATTTAAAATTTAGACCTATACTCGGCACTCAGGGCCAGTGAGCAGAGAAGGATCTTTATCGTGCTGAAGCCTACTGTGACACGTCACCTCGGATTTTAAGATCTCATCCGATAATCCATGGCGTTCACTTCCTTAGCCGGACGCTTGGCAAAGGAACAGTCACTAAGTATGTTTTCGTCTTAAGTTTGACGCAGTGGGGCGAACGAGAATCGAACCCAGGCCTCCCGAGTACGAAGCAAATGCTCTACACGCTGATTGAATAGATAACCATCAAAATCATTTCAGAAATTTAAATTTTTGGACACGTCTACTAGCACGTTTTTGGACATGTACAACAATATATTTTACCTGCACATGTTTTTACCTTCTTCCTGTCATATTTTAACCCTTGTGTGGCTATGAGTTATCTAATCTTTGTAACTGTCAATTGTCTAAATTGTATCTACATGTACATAAAATAATCATCAAAATCTAAATTTCAAAATCACTTCTCTTTGCTTGGATATAATAAGTTCATTATTTGCAGATGCTCACTGAGGAACGAGTGCTACAATCCTACACGTAATCGATGGATTCACGGTCCAAAGGAAAAAGACAACTGTCTCGAAGTTCTTAATGTCTCCCCACCAATGTTCCATGTCTCACAAAATATCAGCGTAAGAATGGTTTTTTTATTGAATCCAGAATATACCAATATATAACAGACTTTAAAAATGTGCCAATTGTATTGTAATTTTATGCATTTTCACTAGAGAATATGATCACGTTTAGTCCCCTACTTGTAACCAACCCCCTCCCCAGTGGGATGTATAGGTATTGCGTCCGTTTATACGTCCGTCGTTTAGCGCTCTCTCCATCTGTTACTCAGTGTCGTTTTCCGGCAGCTTTTTTTAAAATAAAACCTTGAGGCATTTTATTGAGTTTTGTAGTTTTGAATGAAAATATGGATCAATGTAAAAAAGGTTAAGAAAACGAAAAGTGATCAATCAAAAAAAAAAATCTACAAATACACAAATTTGTGAATAGGGCACAAAACACAGACCTCCGGAAATTCCAGTGGTTGAATCAGGTGCCTAGGAGGAGTAAGCATCTCTTGTCTACCTGTTCGACCCTCTATGGGACCTATTAATTGATAGATAGACGGAATTTGATGTTCTTTTTAAAAAGATTTTCTACATATTTGTTTTAGTAATGCCCTTTAAACATTTACATTCTAGATTTGTTTTCCGGAGGTTTTGTTTGATAAAACTTTGAGGTACAGTTGAATCTCGTTATGTCGAAGTAGGTGGAACTTGAAGTAAAATTCAAGATGAAATAGTGAAGAAAACGAACAGTGAGCTATCTAAAAAAATCTACAAACAATACAAATATGTGAACAGGGTACAAAACACGGATCCCCGGAAATTCCAGAGGTACAGTTGAATCTCGTTATGTCGAAGTAGGTGGAACTTGAAGTAAAATTCAAGATGAAATAGTGAAGAAAACGAACAGTGAGCTATCTAAAAAAATCTACAAACAATACAAATATGTGAACAGGGTACAAAACACGGATCCCCGGAAATTCCAGAGGTAGGAGCAGATTCCTTGGAAGAGTGAGCATCCCCTGTCGACCAGTCACACCCTCAGTGAGCACTGTGTATTGACCAGGTAGACAGAATATTCCGTAGTGAAATTTAGTATATTAAGTCAATTTTCGACCCCCATTTGACCACCAGGGTGAAAATAAAATTGCGAAGCCTTACTGCACATACATACATGTAAGACACCACCAATCATCTTCCAAAATATGATAAGGCTACTGCGTAAAATGTAAAGGGAATTCTGGGAACCAGGTCGTAATAGGAAAAATCATTTTCGACCCCCAGGGTGAAAATGAAAATTCCGAAACCCTATTGCATATCTATAGGGCACCACCAATCATCTTCAAAAAGGTAGTTAGGCTACTGCATAAAATGTAAGAAATGTAAGAGGAGTTCTGGGAACCAGGTTTTTGTAGGGAAAAAAACGTCATTTTTGGGCTCCCATTTCCGCCCTTGGGTAATGTTCAAAATGCTAAAACTTTTATTACACATCACCTATCGTATTCCAAATGATTAATTGGTTACTGCTTAAAATAAAAGAGGAGTTTAAGGAAAATGAAATTGTGACAGACGGACGGACAGAGCAGGGTTACAACAATTTACCCGATCTTTCTTTAGAAGGAAGTATCAACGTTATAAGGTTTTTACCTTTTTAGTTGCTTCTAACAATCATACGTCTGCCTCGAGATGACAACGCTTCCTACAACTGTGTGTTTAATTTTCCTAGCGTTGATCAGGAATTATCCCCAGCTCGACAATTGAGTTATGGTATTGAGTGTACAATTCCTAATGTTGATGATCTCGGTCTCATCTTCGACAGCAGTCTGGGTATTAATATTAAATCATATACAGTTGTTTATATATATATATATATATATATATATATATATATATATATATATATATATATATATATATATATATATATATATATATATATATATATATATATATACAAAAGGAAAACTATTTATAATTTTTTAAAAATTATAATTTTCAAAAAATCTGAAAATACAAAAACTATTAAAAAATATTCTTTTTTATAATGTTCAAATAATTTTTTTATTAAATAATGAGAAAGATATCAAACAAACGAGAGAAAAAAACAACAGACAATTGGTGAAAGAAGATTATACAGTATACATACTCTTCAGATGTTCAGCATGCTTTACTTTTCTACAGTGAGAGATTATAGTTGTTTCCTAAAGTATGTATTTTTCATTAAATATCTCTTTTTGACAATCATACGTATATGTTATTTACGATTGTCACCAGCAGCTTTATAAAAAGTTGGCGACAAAATGAAAAAAAAAATCATATAAATTAACTTTTGTGTTATAAATTAACCATTGTGTTGGATGCTCTAACTGATGCTGGGTTTTTCCTACACAAGAGGCTTTCTGGTATAAAAAACCATATAAATTATTCTCAGAAATTGCACTTCAACAGTTTTTAATTCAAGAGATGGCAATTAAATATCACTTTGATTTTTAAGACAGAAGTTTGTTCACACCAATTTAATTCTAAAAGTCATATTTTAAAAAAAAAAAAACTGATGTTAAAGTTGCTTGTTGATACGCTCTACTATTCTTTTCGAATTCACATATGACTATCTGACATTTCGAACACCACATCTGATGAATTCTTCAGACTACACATTCAAATGCAGCATATGAGTGTACTTGGCCTGCAAACTTCGGTAAAGTTTGCATGTAGTGCCAAATAACGGGAAGATATTTCTGTTATTTCGACAACAAAAAGGGTCATATTGAGATAGTTGATCTGAGATACAAATATTTCCAACTTCCATCTTGTCTTTTTTTAAAACAACAATTATTTAACACCTTTACGGGGTTCGATAAATCATTGGTGTAATATTTCATGCTTAAGTAGTACATTAGAAAAGGTAATTAGGATAAAGTTAGGAATTAAATTTGACTGGTCTATTGATCATATCCTGTTGACAAAGAAAAAAAAACATTGAAAGGATGTGAAGTCACGCTCATAAACGGTCCTGTTTCTGGTATCTTTATCAAAAAGGCCTGTTCAAAGTGCGAACGTGGCGAGTGATCGCCAAAATTCCTTATCCCTCCAACAGAAATGTTCGCACGCGCTCGCGAACGTTCGCTCTTTTGAACAGGCCTCTGGTTTCTTTACCAGTGATGCTCCCTTTTTTGATCAGCAAGCTGTTTTTTTTTTTTTTTTTTTTTTTTTTTTTTTTGGTCTAGAGTTCTTATTATAAGAGCTTAAATTGATGTCCAAGTTGGTTAAAATTTCATCACAATTTCGAGTAATTTACCATTATGGTAATGATTGATATATCATTTTCATATTCTTTCACCCTTTCCCATTTTTTTTTTGAAAACAACAATCTTTGATATGTAGAATTAATAAGTATATGTAGTTTCCATGATCTACAATGAAAATATTTCAATTGAAACAAAGGTGATTGAAGACGACTTAGTTAAAGCACCATGTTGTCTGCGTACATAAGGGAAAAGAAAATAATGATTTCAAAAGGTACACGTTCCTAATGAAAAGAATGCTTTTCAAAATCATTTTCATACAAGTTGAATAGAATGGGTGAAAGTACATTGCTTTGCATTAAATCAAGACTTCTGCTAAAACAATCACTCAATAAACATTCCGAATTTGTAATCCTTATAAAAAAAAAACGTAAGAATTTGCCTTGAATCCTAATTTTGGGAGCCCCAAATTTTGACAATTTCAACTTAAGTATAGATCTATCGACGAGTCGAACGTTCTTTTTTTTATTAATCAATGCATCCCTTTTTTGTAATTGTGGTAGTAATTCAAGTACAAAGTAGAAAACTGGTTTTCATTTTAATTTTAAACCAAATTGTGCATCAGTTACAACATTATTACATCCTGACTATGAAAAAATCAATTGTTTAAGACAGAGGTGAAATGTTTACATAGGTTGCAAAAGACACTGATTCCTCTACATTTGTTAGGATCAAAATTATCATCCTTTATAAAAATAGTCACAATTACAGAAGTTGACCAAACTTCAAGCAGAATATTCTTTTTGTTCAGATGTTTATCTTTTTAAATTGAACGTAAAGAAAATTGCTTTTAATTGCAGATTACCACATTTTGATTTTTTTATTCGCTTAAAGAATTACAGATTTTCCAAGTGATCACCAATGTTCCGACAAAGTGATCAGAAACTGTAAACCAATTATTATTCGCTACATATTTTATTCGCGATTCATTAGTATGAAATCTATCTGTGACAATTTTTTGCGACTGAGGATACACTAAGCAAAAAACTCACGGATAAATAATTAGTTCGCAGCAAGAAATATTCACGAGTATACAAAGAGGTCAAAAAACTTATTTTGATATTTCTCGCACACGAATAAATGTTGGTTTACACTTACCAGTTACAAATTATCATCCCCGAAAATCGCATACTGCAAAAAAAGTTTTTTTGTGAAGATTTCAATACAGTATTAGTGCTTTTTTTCTTCTGTAGGACATATCAACATAAATCTGGGTATTCAATCCATTGAGACAGGACAAGTGATTGTGTCAACATCTTATCTCATCTACAACTGCAGTAGTTTTACCAGGTTGATCAAAATACAGAAAGATTTACTGTCTCAAAATTTTAATTAGAATTTAAAAGTTTTGAAAGAATTGTTCTGTATTTTAGTACATAATTCTATGAAAACCATAATTTTGACTTTATTATTTTTTTCAGTTGTTCTAGATGTGTGGACAATGTTTACTGGTGTGACTGGTGTTTAAGAGAAAACAAGTGTCAGTATAATACTGATTTTTGTTCAGGGGAAAGTGTCAGAAGTCGAAATGCAAGTATTCATTTAATGAAACAATGCTTTGGTTTGCAAATAATGTCAGGATGTGATTCTTTGACATCTTGCTTTGCTTCCACTTTCAAAATCAACGTAGAACTATTTTATGAAAACTTTGTTTATGAAATGTTTGTCAATGTGTCTTCCAACAGCTATGGCACATGCCATAGATAAGTCATGCATTTGATGCAATACATAATTCACATTTAATATAAGGGTCAATCTTTCGATTTGCTAATGGCTACATTGAAGAATAATTGCAAAATTGGCAGATTAAGAGTATTTACATTGCAAGTGGAAGACAAACTTATATACAATGTATCAATTTTTTTTAGGATACCTATCCACAAAACAGCATTGAATATATTGTGAGTTATTTTTTACTATAGCTATCGTTGTTTGCTTATCTGCTTCCATTTACTTTTATCAGCAATTATGTCTTCTTTTCCTTTTCAGTCAATATTCAACAAAAACAATGCAATAAGTAAAGCATGTAAGTGACCTATAGGTTATTGCATTATTTTGGGGTTACCAAGACTCATTCGAGCAACAATGGAAGACTCAACACAACACCGGCAGTATTTTGCATTGTAATATTCGGTTCAACAACACTTTCTTGCGTGGCATCTACAACCTAAATAGAGACCAAAATTTAAACCATTAAAAACAGGACTCAAATAGAACTCCGACCATAAAAAATGAACGAGTAATATTATAGCAATACCCTATAAACAAACACTTATTTACAGGTAAAATGCAAGTGATCTTGACATCATATTTCCCGATGCCTTGTGTAAACTGATCTTTCGATGTGATCTCCTGTTTTGAATGTTGCAAGATGACTTCGTTTTCTGTTTGATTAGGTTATTGGTAAGCCTATGTGAACTCAAATTCTCATTCACAAGATCACATCCAGTGGACTCACACAAAGCTTTGGCAGCTTGTCACTCTCTGTGGCCTAGCCTGATTAACCATACAGGGATGTCAACCTCTTCAATCTATGTTGATGCACAACTCTGTCATTGTCCCGATTTATAAATATAAAAAGCACAAATTTAAATGAACTTTTGTTCGATTATATCCATGGTTTCTGGAGTTTATCTTCTACTTTCTTTGGTGTTTTGTATCATCTAATTTTTGTACGTCTTTCAAATACAAACTAAATCTAAATCAATCTTTCCAAAAATCGCACTGCATGTTTTTTTTTTCTCAGTCACACAACTGCGTTGTTAATCTTCTCTTGCAGTTAAATGAACTTTAGCAAGAATTTATTCATAATGATAAATGTAATCTGATAAAAGTCATGTCTGTCTTTTCATTTCTGCCGTGAAGTCTATGTTACTCCCTCGTCTTTTATTAGCTGTAAATCATGTCTCTCTATCCTCTTCTGGCTTAGTGGTACCTGCTATTAACGTTAGTATGTTTGATTAATGCTGGAACATAAATCATTTTCAAGTTTATGTTAGATTAATGCTGGAACATAATTCATTTTCAAGTTAGCACTTTATTGAATGCATTATGGTCCTTGTATGATTTTCTTTTTGAGCGTTTGAATAAGGTCTGTCTGGTTTGGAGTGTTTTGTTACATGTTTCTTGAGAAGATTATACTACTACTGTACTACTTTTACTGAAAATCTTGCATCAATTTTCGAAGTGTCAATCAATACTACGTCATCAACGGCCATGATGTTTTCCCCATGTCACTCCAATTAAGCAATTAATTTCAAAGCTTATTGCTTTTATAAGCATTGCACTAAGTTACTGCTTTAAATATGAGATGAGAAATTTTGTGTACAAAATCAAACTTTTGACTCATTGTTTTACAACTCATACAAACGAAAAACCTCAATATTGTGAGATGTAAAAGGAAACCAGCGAATTATAAGACTACACTGTCAGGCAAGATAGTTGTTTTTCCACAAAATATATCTTTCGACTAAGATAATTATTTTCACACACCCCCCCCCCCCCACACACACACACAAAATTAATTGGTTAAAAGTGGGTCACAAAAATCTTAGATTCTAGTACATTATTTTTTTTATTGTGAATAATCCTACAAAAAAGGTATTATCTGTATTAAACAAAAAATTAGAGAGTTGTCAAATTTAATTACGATTTTTCATGAAAAGGTCTTAGGGCTACAAATGCCTGAAGTGTTGATCTGAACAGGGGTGAGAATGCGCCAGATTGACAAATCACCTAATCTTATTAAATTAAATGCACATACAGGTACAATGAAACAATTAACTAGAATGATTGTTTAGCAATGTAGTATATTTTTGAAACTACAAAGTGCTTAGTGTCCCCTAAGTTATGAAGGATCATATACAGTTATATTTAAATTAATTCAAGCCTCGGACATTTAACCAATTTTATGAACTATTCAAAAGATAAAAGAAAAGTAAAAAACATACATCACAATATTTACTTTTTTTAATGACTTGAAGGGTTTTGAAGGCAAACGAGGGAAGTATTTTTGCCCCATGGCGGACAAAATTCAGACGGGTCCCTTATTGATACCACAGGATCAATCTAAAACTATCATCGTTCAAGGAAAGAATTTCCCAGAACCAGTAAGTACTTACTTCATTTGTACACAGTTACATTGTGCTGTATCTAAAAAGGCACAATTCTTGAAACTGATATTAATTTTCAATAAGTAAACAACTAAAAAAAATAATTTCTTTGTAACTAGAATGTCCCATTTTTATTTATTACTGAGTCAAAATATCATTCCAATGCCTTATAAATATCAAAGTATATTTCATATTCTTAATTTACTTGGGTCAAATGTTCGTTGGCAGTCAAAATATTATCAGGACGTAAAGCCATGAGTAATCTGTGAATACAAGAGACACTTATTGCATATTATCCAAATTAGACCTACCGGGTAAACATTTGTAACTATAAAAACACTGTACTTATACATGTGTATTCTCGCAGGACGAGTATAAAGGACAAATAAAGTTACCATCAAGGATACTAAATGTAGAGGGGAGAAGGATATCAAGTACTTATTTAATTTTCAATATCAGCAAGGTAGGTTTTATACAGGAAATACATATATATGTAAAATATCGGATGGTGCTTGTCATTCCGGTATAGATATTAGCTTCTATAATTTTACTAGCTTCTTTTTTTGAAAAATCAGTTAATTACAAAATTATTATATAATAACGCGATCTTTCTTTACTCCTCGTTGCCATTTCAGATTGAAGACGCTTTACCCAAAGGTTTATATGATGCAAGCATGAAAGTCCTGTGGACAGAAGGGGAATTTAACATTGAAACTAGCTATTTAACATGTAAGTGTAAGAAATCTAGAACTGCTTTCCTTTAAACAAAAAAAATTATGAGTTTTAAAACGTTATCATAAACATTTTTCAATGAGCACCAATGTACATGTACGAACGGACTATACATTTTGATTTTACCTTTGCTTACTATATTGTTCCGTGTAATTATCTTTTCGACATTAAGGTCATCGTTGGCAAGCATGAAATGATTTTCAAAAAGTGTTCCTTTTCTTTATTTTCAGCTTGAAGGTTTAATTGTTTGTTTTATTTATTATGATTTTTCCTAAACTTAATCTGCCAAAAAATACCTACTCCTGAATTAGAGTGATGCTTGATCATGAAGAAATCCCATCATCTATATGTTAAGTCAATTTGATTGTTGCTATGTTTCAAGAATTCAGACTACCTTTAATTTGCTTCAGCATAGTTGCCGGTGTTCAGCTTAACCTCAGTTTTTAAAATGAATTCTTATTTCAGTAATGTTGTACAGCTGTACAGGTCAAGCTGCTGGAGACTGTACCTTCTGTAAGGATCTGGAACTCAGTCAGCCTGCAATGAATTGTAAATGGTGTGGTGACCAGTGTATTTACAGTCTAAAGAACTGTTCAGAATCTCTATGTCCAGCCCCAATTGTCAACAGTGTAAGAAATTAAACTATTTTGGTAACGAAATTAAAGTTATTATCTTTGAAACCCTCGAATTTCATTCAAATATGAGCACCTTTTTCTTGATGACGTGTCTTGACCTTGATGCAATGCCATATTTAAAAGTCAAGGATATGTTATAATATCAATTAGTAAGTTCAAGGGTACATGTAAAAGTAGGAGTCGGTAGGATATCTCGTTTTGTCAGAAAATAACATGCAATATTTTTGTACCTTTTTGCGTTTTCTTTTGACATTTCAAGCTTTATAATTTTCTGCTTTTGTTACTTTGCAAATTTGTATGGAGCTATACATGTGTCACAATGCATGCAGCTACTTGATACTGCATATGATGAATTTCTGCGCAGCTATTGGTTTGTCATACAGTATCAAACAATATTAACAATTTCTCAGGGTACATTTGTGAAATATGTACGATTTTTAGTATTATTAACTAAATAACATAATGAAGAAAAAATTTTTGAAAAATATTTTGTTCAAACCGTAGATTCTTTTTAAGCCTTTTAATGCTCATCCATGGAGATTGATCTTTGATTTTTCATTATTTTATTATTATGATTTAGACAGATTGATCCAATGGATGGTTCGGTTGATGGTGGTACTCACCTCACAATCAACGGTAAAAACCTTGGCGTGTCAAGAAAACAAGTAGATAATATCACTGTTGTTGGTGTATTATGCTCGAACATTACGGTAGTCGATCTAACGTAAGTTATATGAAGTCGTTTCAAACGGTGTCATTTTATCATATGAGACTAAGAATTAGATGCCCTTAAATCCTGAAAATGACAATATTGAAAAAAAAAAAACATTTAAAAAAAAACCTCAGTGTCTTCCGCTCAAATTTACTAAACAATTCTTACCTGAAAACAAGCCAATTTATCAGGCTTAATTTGAATTCGACGCTTTATCCTTTTGTACTATCCCTGTGTAATTACAAATTTAAAAAAAACTATTTGAGAATATATGAATTAAGTTTGACAAATAAAATCTCAGGTTTACTTCATACGCAACGATTTTTTTATGATGTAGTGTACAGTGTGTTACGGGACCCAGTTCTGTTTCATCTGGACAAATAAATCTAAGTGTTGATGGACGGCTTGGAGTCAGTACAGTGCTGTTTTCGTATAAGGTGATACTAAAACTATATTTTAAATGCATTTCAGTTTACATTTCACTGAATATTCATTCATACATTTGTGCTACATTAAACCTGCATAAAAATGATATCGAATATGCTCAATCTTTGTAAACGTATTTGAGTTTCGTTGCATAACCCTGATTCTTAAGTCCTTTGGTTTCAAATATTTTGTACTTTCTGATGTTGATAATATTTTCATAGGATCCACAGCTGTTAGGACTATCTCCTGCTGAAGTAATACAATCAGGGGGAAGATCCATCAAATTGATGGGAAGAAATTTATTAATAGGAAAGAGGGACATTCGAGTTCAACTAATAGATGATTTTTCCAAGGCTAAACTATGCTCAGTGTATGTTTTTTTTTTCTTTTTTTTCTTTCAAAAAATTATACATATTTAACAAATATGTCAAGATCATGTACTCCTCTGTCAAGTACATTGATTTTGTTTTAAACTTTTCTTTCTATGTCAAAATATAGAAAAATGGAGGTTTCATCTGACGAAGCAATAACATTTGTTCCAGAGCCCACGAACATAACTGGACCTCACATAATACAGGTTTTCTTTGATAATACATCAGTCAGAACATTACAGAACATGAGACTAACCTATCTGTCTGATCCTGTAGTGCAGGGCACAGAACCTTCTGAATTAAGGAGTATTTATAGGTAAACTTCTAATTAATCACAACGTTGTCTTGACTTCAATAATATAAGATGTAATCCTATATTTCAAGTTGTCATAGGGGTTTAGGTTTGTGTTAAAAGCATTTCACTCTGCTTTTATGTTTTTTTTTCCTTAACAACTTCTGTTGATTGATTCGGACACTCTTACATATTTTATTTACGTCTATCTAATAGCATTGCCTTCCGTCTAGATCAGACCCCACCTACAATATCATTTTGTTCGATTTACTTTTAAGAAAAATGAGATTTAACATAGCTTTGCTATCTTCAAATTGAAGAATTTATATTTGAGTCTATGATATCCTGATCGATTTTACATATTTACAAAGGCACATGTGTTTTGCAATAGAAATTTTAACGCACATCTAAAAAATTTTAAAAAAAAATGCTATATCGAAATGTGGTACGTTATATGAATCAATTAAAATATTTAATATCTTTTCTTGCATAAATAAAGATGTTGTGAAGGAATTAAAAATTTCTATAGATTAGATAATAAAGAACAAAGGCCACTTAGGGCCTTTTTTGGCCCTATGAGTTTCTAAAAATCGGAACTGCTCAGTTGTAGTTGACAATGCAGTATTTATCACTTGGATCCTTGGTGACCGTGTATCTATTGAACATGACGTAATTTTCTCTATAGTCAATGTATTATGACGTCATGAATTGCGTCATATTTACCATATCATGTAAATCCCTTTAAATTGGCCAAAAGTTGGAGTATTTTTTTTAATATTTCATATGGAGCACAACCTCTGATCCAAAATATGCAATAACATAATGATAGATCTGTTTCTGAAGATCATAGAACATGTTTTGGATCGAGTGCTGTGCTCATATTTTAATTCTTTGCTGAATTTGGTCAAATGTGTCTGTTTTCTGCAAAATTCAAGAATATTGCATTTTTACAAAGCCTGTTTTCTAATACCTGAATTCTCAAAAAGAAATTTTGTTATAGGAAATGAGAGCGCCAAGTCTCTAATTTATTTTGATATATGAAATGGGACAGAGGGTGATAGTCAATTAATTGATATAAGTACAGGGCCATTTTATGCATGAAGTGAACCTAGCTCTTTTCAAAAATTGAGTTTTGAAATTTTGTACTTTAAAAAGATTTTTAAATTCCGAAATTGCGTAAAAATGTGTTTGTAGTATATATTACGTAAAATGGAATTTTTAAAAAACCTTCAGTCGCATAAAATGTTGATGTAAACGTTTTCTTAAAAAGCAAAAACACATTATCATTTTAATTTCAATTTTGTTTATTTTTACTTTAGTGGAGGTTTAAGCTTCTCTGTTGTCGGTAGCGGGTTTGTAGAAGTGATAGATGAAATGACAGTCTACTTTTCTGGAAACAAAGAAAACGTAAGGATATATTTTTACTCTTTGATTTCAAAGATTGTCTCGATATTTTTATTGTTGGGGGGGGGGGGGGGTGAGGGGGGCTCAGCTTAACAAAGGTTAAGGTAAGGTTTTCTGATCAAAAAGTTCTCAGTATACCGCTGTCCGTCTGTCGTTTGTCACACATCTGTAAGGGTTTTTTTATTTATTTATTTTTTATTTTTTTTACGTTATCACATTCCTTGCCAGCACCATCATAAATAACAAACCTAAAATTTTTACAGACTTCTTATTAAGGAGAGTCATGTATGTGTGTGTTTTATTGATGGTGATCATTATTGGTAGTATTTATGACTTGTAAAAGTTTATAACTTATTTCTTACAGAATAAAAATCTGTGTTCAAGAATAAATACAAATCGTCTGAAATGTAAATACCCTCCTTTTCCAAGATGGATGACAGATAATAGCTCCAGGGTCCAAACATTGCAACTTTCACTAGACGGTTTTACAACCACTTTGCAGCCACGAGTGTTGTATCTTAAAGATCCAATTTTCTTCCCATTTAATGGAAACCAATCCCTCAGCTTTGATCCTGCCTCAAGAGAAAACAAAATTATCATAATGGTAAGTGCTTGTGTAAATTTTTCATTTAATACTACTACCTGCCAAGGCATACATACTATATCAGGGTTTTTTCAGTTTCTTTTGCTATTGAAAAGGTTCGAATTGAACAGAAACTGATTTTTCTGTCTTATATATATATATATACTGAAGGTCGTGTGTTCGAATCACGGCCGCGACCCTAAGTCGATAAATAATAGGTAGCAACTGTTCTTTTGCCAAGCGCTCGGCACTTTGAAGTGTGAAAGTTGCGGGGTTTTTTGGATGAGACCTTAAAAACAGAAGCCCCGTGTCATGGGAGACGTTGGCCCGATAAAGAACCTTTACTGGTCAATGGCCCAGAGTATCGAGTTAAGGCCTTCACCGGTATTTGGTCTATATACTCTATATGAATGAACAATTCTCGAATGGTACTTAAAACAACATAGACTCAATCATTCAATCTTATATATATGCACACATGCTTTATGCAATATTCTTAAATATGCCGACTAATGGTATTCGGGATAATTGTAAGCTTTTGCCTATTTTGATATCTTACAAGGATAATCTAAATGTTTGATAAGGAATCGTGTAGCGATTATCTTGTCAATAAAAACAATTTAAATTTGTAATTACAATAAATTAGCTATCGGCATCTTGATTAATGACTCTTATATGCATCGTTTTAGGATATGTTTGCTGTTTGTAATCTTGATATGGAATATTTGATTATTTTACAAATGGAACACAATGAAAGGTGGATCAGCAATACGTAAATAAGATATGAACGATCGCTCTTTTACCTAGGGAGATTATTTAGATGGTGTAGCCACTAAGGATGATTATTTTATTCGAGTTGGGTCGGGTGAATGTATAATGACAGATCTACAAAGTTCTAATCTCACATGTAAACCTCCATATACAGAGCCATCACCATTATCAACTGATGGGAAATTGTATATTAGAGTAAGTAGACAGTAGTAATTTTACTATATATATTGTATATCACTCATTTCACGCAATTACTTGACGATGTGACCCAAATTTCCAGATCACCAAATTGTAGTTTGCCACTCTCTAAAACTGATGACATAGAACTAGTTTATGTGACTTTTTCCTGTATATCAAAACAAACGTCCCTTGAAAAGGTGTTTGCAGGGTATAAAATTTAAGATTGTAACAGTAACCGTTTTAAAAAGGAAACTTAAATATGCAGTGAGGTAACGCCATTTTTAATTGCATCATGAACATTGCTCCAATTCCCCCCATGGTTTTTTTTTTTTTTCATGTTCAAAGTGTCTATGTATATAATACAGAAATAAAATCTTGAGATGCCACATCGTTATCTTTAATTTGGTACCGTGTCATTCAGGTCAAAGTAGGATTTCTCACCGTTGTTGTTGGTGATTTGATTTATCCTGCATCAGTCGACATGTATATTCCTATAATTGTCAGCATCACGATTGTTATTGTGGTTGTCGGCGCCGTATCTCTGTTTGCCATCTTAAGATGGAGGAGACGAAAAACCAGAAAGACACAACAAAGACAAAATTATGTTCAAAATATGCAAGGTATATGCTGCAAATTACTTTTAAGGTTGCAATTTCTTGTATAGAAATGTTATTGGATTCGGCACTTTTGAAAGTTTTGTTGTTATTGTTGTTTATGCAAGGCCTTACATCTGTGCATTTGTCTCATTTATTTGAAAATATCAAATTATATAGTTTCGGGATACGAAATGCTGAGAAGAAATCGAGATCAAGCCAATGAACACAGAATAGATGAAAGTATAGTGAACCTTCTGAAAAGTAGAGGTTTACTTATCTCTCCTGATGACCTCAGAATCGGAGATTGTGTTGGAAAAGGTAGATGTAAAGATAATGTAGAATAATATAGTGTTTTCTACATTTCTAAGTGTACATTTCAATTTTAGATAAAGTCTTACTTATCTTGTATTTAGGGAATTTCGGGATTGTCTATGAGGGTACTTTGACCAAGTCAGTGGATAATTATGAAACCACAGTGGCGATCAAATCTTTACATCGTAAGTATAATCACACTTTATAGTTATGTATTAATTTTATTTCCATGAATGACTAGTTCTTCTTTCTCCATCCTCTTGCAATTGTTTGTCAAGCAGCCATTTCCTTCGATTCCCTGTTCTTCTTTCCTTTCATTAATTCTGCTCCAACAAAGAAAAAAGTCCCCCCCCCCATTTTTTCATCCTTCTACTAATGCCACAAAATGTGCAACTTTCAGCAACACTGTTAAGGCTACATAAAGGGGGGATTTATGCGGAAAATGCTTACTGTGAAATGAGGCTAAAATAACAATTCCTTTTAAATTGTATAAAAGTATTAAAGTGCATCAAAACTTACCACTGCATTCATTTTGATATAAATAAGTCATTGATCGAAATGCACTTATCATTATGGTAAAATGTGACGCATTTTTTGTACCCTGAGGGTCGAATCAATTTTTTCCCACAGTAAAAAATGCATTATTTTTATTTAACAGAATATTATATGTTTAAAAGACGTGAAACCTTTGTTTAATGCCATTATTTTATCATTATCGAGAGAAGATATTGAATATATTCCGTCTTGTTTTTGTGTACAGGGTTGATGTGCTTTATATCGAGGTGCGTCGTTAAAACACCTTTTTGCATAGGCATGAACTTAATTAAAAGATTTTGAACATTTTTTTTTAAACAGAGATAAAGGAAATATTCTTGAACTTGAAAAGTGCTGCTGCTTTCGTGAAATCTATACCATTAATTTATGAATACATAAAATACTTAATAAAGGTCAGGCATATTTCAAGTTGAGCCCCATAACTTGGAACTTAAACTAATGAAACATTAGGTTACTTCAATTGATATTAAATTCATTGATAATAAAATAGCTTTACAAAAATAGATTCCCTTTAAAAATGTATTTGTGTACTTCTCCATTCCGCTGATTTCTTTATAGTACACCTTAACAGTGCTGCGTCCCTTCTTTATTTCCTCAAACTCTTAAAACTACTGCTTACTTCTTCATCTTTTTACCTTCATCTCATATATCATGTGCCACGACTAGCTTAACTACTCATTTTCCTAGTATTACTGATCTTTCCACACCTTTTAATTATGTATCTATTACTGCTGGTACCACTTAATTTACTTCTGCAGTTCTTCTCATTTTCTTCCTCTTATACCGTCTTCTTAAACTGCTATCATCCTCCAACACCTTATCTTTTCCCACAACTACTAAAACTATTTGCACATCTTGTTCATTATATATTTCTTTTTTGAAGACATGTAATATGCATTTACTTAGAAAAAGTATCACGAGATATAGATGCCAAGGAATTTGTAAATGAAGCTTTACAAATGGCTGATTTCCACCATCCGAATGTGATGACGTTAATTGGGATTTGCCTTTCTGACGAAATGCCACTGGTGATCTTGCCTTTTATGAGACATGGAGATATGTTAACATATATCAGGGATCAAAACAATGTAAGATATACAGCACAGAAGTGAGTGGTTTACAATCTTTTATAGCACTAATTCATGCAGATCTTATTGTTTTACTGACAGTGTTCTCAACAGCAAAATAATTAAATTAATGAAATTTAGAATATTAAAATTATTGTCTATGTACATGTATATATTTTGTAGAGTCTTTATTAAGTTTAGTTTGAACCAAGATATAATAATCCTTATCAGACTATTGTGGAATTAAAAACATGGAAAGTTAAACATGTCAACTGAATGCGAGTCCGTTAATTAAAGGCGAACGGTACATATGGCAAATTTGATCTTTATGTTTTGATTGAACCAGGTGATGACACTTTTGAATATCTTACAATTTGGTCTTGATATCGCCAGGGGTATGGAATACCTGTCTTTACAAAGGGTCGTGCATCGTGACCTTGCTGCAAGAAATTGCATGTGAGTTATTTTCTTCAAATTATCAAATCTACTCATCTTCCATGCAAATATTCTTTTTATGTGTTAATTTAATTAACTTTTTTCGAAGGCTTGGTGATGACAAAACAGTAGTAGTAGCAGACTTTGGCCTGTCACGTGACATATATGAGAAGAATTACTACTGTATAAGTAACAAGAAGTGTAAGTTACCCGTGAAATGGATGGCACCTGAAAGTCTTGAGAAAGGAATGTTTACTGCCCAGTCAGACGTGGTAAATATTTCAATTGATCTCGAACTTTAAAATTCCCAAACAGCATCTGTCATTATTGATATTTACGTTTTTACATAAACGCCTTTTCTTCAAGTGGTCATTTGGTGTGGTACTGTGGGAACTGATGACCAGGGGAAATAAGCCATACCCGGAAGTGGACGGATGGGACATGCTCAGATTTCTGAAGATGAACAGGAAGTTACCGCAGTCTCAGTATTGTCCGGATGTTTTGTAAAAAGCCTTCTAAAATACACTTATAGAAGAAGTTGACAGACTAACACTACAAAATATAATTGTTTTCACTGCATGAAAAGTTTACAGAGTTCAGCATTGTCCTACTACTTATAATTCTGTTCGATTTGTACTTGTTAAAGAAAATGTGTTGTATGTTACATTTTTTTCTTTATTACCAAATGGTTTGTTGACCATAGTAATATCTTATGTTAAGCATATAATACCATTATTTATAACACGATACACCAGAAGAGAATAATTCTCACAGAATGAGAATTTCACTCGAAAACATAATCTAAAGAAAGAAATTTTATACTGTCGAAATATCGAGATATAAGTAGACGAGAGAAATGTAAACCATGTCTACTTCACCATCTTTGTAGCTGTGGTTGACCGTGAAGGTGTCCAGTATTTGAATTGCTAAAAGCATTTTTCTCTGAATGTAAAGAGTGTTAAATAATCATTTTACTAAATTCTAACATTTTTCAGTATTTCGGGAAAATGTTACTAAAAGCAATCTCAAGACAGCAAAAATGCTTTATGCTTTATGTGCCCAATATATACCTTAAAGTCCTCTGAAGGTTTTTACCCAGAATATTAGTATGCTAGGTGAACCAATATTTTGGATGCAAATACTCGAATGTATACTGAAGCCGCATATGTTTTAAAATTACATGTAAACTATTTTCTTCAGTGATATAATGCTTTTAACTTGAACTTGTTTGGAGTCCTCAAATAATTAATGGATTGAAATAGTTTGTGCAAACTTTTGTCGCGTCCAAAGCAGGTACAAATTGCATTATAACCCCCCTCCTCCTGTAACTGCCCTCCCCTTGCCTCCCCCGTATCTAACGCCATTGAATGTAGTCTACTAGTATATAGAAAGACTGTTCACTGCTGATTGAGGCTTTCTGTGGACCATCAAAGTTTTAAAAAACTATCTGTTTTAACACACAATCAAATTGCAAAAAAGTGTATTTTTAATTTTAATATCAATTATTCAAGAATTTTTCGAAATCTTAATTTAAGACGTTAATGGTAATCTAACAACCAAGCTTTATGATAAACGTGATGACTTTAACTTTTCAATCGTCAACTTCCCTTACTTATGCAGCAATATACCTTCATCACCTGCATACGGGGTATATATCTCTCAGTTGATTCGATACGCAAGAGCATGCTCTACGTATGTACAATTTCTAAAACGAGGTAAATTAATGACAAATAAGTTGATGAAACAAGAATATCAGCTGTCTCGTTTAAAGTCATCATTTCGTAAGTTCTATGGTCGATACAATGACCTTGTCAGCAAATACAATTTATCATTGAGTCAAATGCTGACTGACGTTTTTCATACTAATTGTTAGGCCATCATTTACACACTGAATTGTCGACGGATTTTCCCGTTATTTCCCGATCATGACAAGGAGCACACGGCGGGTGTGACCGGTCGGCAGGGGATGCTCACTCCTCCATGGCACCTGATCCCACCTCTGATGTTTGCTCTGCTCCTATTTTGTATTGATTAATGGACTTTTGAGCTTGAATACTGTTCGTTATCTCCATATATTTCATTTAAGGAGGCTGGGGGGTCAACAAATTAACCACAAATTAACCACCAGATATAACTTAATTTTTTAGATATGATATCTTAAGCTGTCAACTATCATTTGGCAGAGAAAAATTTCAAAAATTTTAGTTTTAAAATTTGATCATTTTCTTTATCTTCATATGGAGCTCTTCTTCTAAAGGAGATCAATATAGTCTAAAAATGGCCAAAATCCCTCAGCCTCTTTAAGGAGAAATTCTAGTCTGGTGTCAGACTAAATAAAATATGCATATTATATTTGCTTATAAGACTTTTATATCTAGATTTAGGGGATTTAAGAGATCATAATTTTCTTTCCTTCTTTTAATTCTACAACTTTGAATTGAGTGGGAAATTGAGTTCAAAATCTAGCAGGGACTATATTTTGGGCGGAACTTCGGCCTATGAAAATATCTCCTTTTTCTGCTTCTTAAAATTACTACTGTAACAGAACAATGAATTTAGTTAAAAATTTTGAACAATTGAAGACTTCAAAAAATTTTCTGAAGTGACTGAAATTAATAACAGGGGACTTAAGTTAAAATTTTCAAATAAATACGATTTTCTAAAAATAATGATAATAAAAAAATAATAAAATTCAAAAAAAAAAAAAAACAATCTTATTAGCTTTTAAAAGCTTCCACTCTAAAAGCAGATTTTAGCAAAAAAACAGTAAAGAAGTTTTTTCTCTCTTACTAAACGGTCAAAACTTTCTGTGTTTGTATCATTTTGTAGCTTTATAGACACTGTATGTCTACTTCACCATATGCGAAAACTCAGAAAAACTAAGCATACAAAAATAACTAATATTCCATTAAAAAAAAATTAGAAAAATAGAGGAAATTCGGGTTAGCCAATATCTAATTTAGATAAATTATCATTCTTAATTTGGCAGTGCCATCTGATAGACACTTTTTAACGAGATCTTTCTATGCAAAAATAAAAACATTTAATCTTTTATGATAGAAGTGAGGATCACATGATTGGCAAAAATAATTTCTTATTCTTAATGTCAAGCAAAATGATGATGACCTTGACCTAACCTTGCTTCTAAACTTATTCTAATTGAAATCATCACTTAATGATAGTGTTTTCTTCAGTCTGAGAAAATTTCATTATTTTTTTAAAAACAATAGATATGAGAAGAATCCCTCCTTAATGGAGGCTTATAAACAGGATTCCAATTTGTTTCCCGTACATTAAGGTGTTTGTTTGTTACAGGTACTATGTAATGACAAGGTGCTGGGATTTAAACCCCGACAGAAGGCCAACATTTTCCGAGCTTGTAGATGAACTGACAAGATTCACGAATCCATCATCTGATGATAATTATCTGGAACCCTCTTTTACATATGAGCGACTTCAGAGTACTTATGTAAATATTGGAATGGGGATAGACTACATTGACCTACAAGAAAACTAAAAGTTTATTTTAGACTTCCTATGAAAAAAGGAGAGTACTGATTTGTTATTTTGAAGCTTCGATTCATTACTTTATCATATATATATATATATATATATATATATATATATATATATATATATATATATATATATATATATATATATATATATATATACTGTAATAGCCCTAACAACAATTTACAATAGTTAACTACAGTAAAAACTTTGATACTTTGATTTACTATGAAACTTTACTCTGGAACTTTTTTTTGAGATTTCAAAGCTTAAAATCTCTTGAATTGGACAATAGTAATATAAAATTTGGAAATAACATATTAATATACAAGTAATAGTTCCATTTAATTAAAAAAAATGTGCCTATATGAATTGAAGAACAAAAAATATAACAATCAGAAATCCATAGTAAAATACTTTGATTTACTATAGTAAAAAAAACTTTGATACTACAGTAAACTATAGCAATTTATAATATTTTTTTAGGGTATAGATCATGAATCTTCCCCCTCACCTGGCCTCTTCTTTACATGTTCTTTTACATCCAGTTTCCGTATGTTTATTTTTTGTTTTAAGAGGCCCCCGAATGCCTTTAGTGTTCTTCTTATCTTTCAATTTTGAGGACGTTCAAAGTGATTAAAAATAATTCCAATTATTTGTTTTAAAAAATACATATATGCACATAAACGAGTATATGCAAATCAAATCATTCAGACTCATGCAGGCAGGTGATTATATACGTTTATATATGAATATGTACGATCATTTCTGTCGTTTTTTTTCTACGAATGTTGTTTGCATGTATTTTATCAGTATATCTATGATAGCTTCATTTGTTTAAATTATTTATTTCATTAATTAATATTGAAGAACATTCAGTAAAATTTGTCTAATCCAGACATCATGGGATCTGTAGGAATTTGCTACGTAAAACATTCTTAATTACACAAATTTTACAAAATTGAATTTTACGGAAAGGAACTAAAAAATTTTCCCCGTTATAGGTAAGTTTTAAGAATATTTAGTACACAACATCAGAGTAGAGAATTCCTACTACATGTATATATCATAGAATAGGAACATATTTTTATACCTAAATGTAATCCAATGATATTTCAATGTTTATATATACAGAAAGGAATATTGAATAAATTAGCAAATTAACCCTACAGACCCTATCAAAATTTTATTATAGTTTACTATAGTTAACAATAGTAAAAACTTTGATACTTTGACTTACTTTGACTTACAATTAAACTTTAAGGGTTTTTTTTTTTTTTTTTTTTTTTTTTTTTTTTTTTTTTTTTTTTGAGATTTCAAGGCTTAAAATCTCAATTAAATAACAGTGTTAGGTGAATGTATAATTTGAGAACATGAAATATCACAATCTGAAATCCAAAGTAAAAATACTTTGATTAACTTAAATAAAAGCTTTGATTGACTATAGTAAAAACTTTGAAACTATTGTTAAACTATAGTGAACTATAGTACATTTTTTATTAGGGGATGATCTAAAAATGTAGTATTCTTTGTAAACAGCACTTTGTAATTGTAGTTCCTCTTGAGAATATTTTGTACATTATGATACACAGTAATGTCTCTGGAATATTTATTGTTGCCCATCCTCATAATGTCAAGGTTTTGTGATTTCGGAACTTCACACAAACTCAAGGGTTTGTGTGGAGTTCCGAAATCACAAAACCTTGACATTGTGAGGATGATTGTTGCCTTACCCTGGAAAAATACTAATTATACCAGGGGTCGGATTGGAATTGTTTACTTTGAACATGGTAATTAAATATTCATGCTGTAATATACGTTAAATTTTAAATTATTCTTGGGATAAAAATGTATATTATCCCTTCATGGTTATGCTTATGAAAATCATAAACAGTTTTGTACAATCAATTGATGACTTTAAATGTACAGTTTACTGAATTCTACGTATACAGCTATATGATTTTTGGATAAATCGTGTAGTATATTTTAAAGAAAAGGGTTATTTGGATGAAAGAAAACTTGATCAAAACATTCAGTTGTAATTGTAATAAAGTTTTGTCAACATTTTGAGTATTTGTATGTCTTGATTTCTGACATTAACCTAAAGAAAGCGTTTTAAACGGACGAGGAAGATTTTAGCGGATTTGCAAAAGGAGTGAATGGAAATATAAGGGAAAATTAAAAGACATTTTAACGGTAGAAGAATCAGTTATCTGATTAAAAGTCAACGGACAGTTTTACAGGATAATTCAATTCTTTTTAAACAATGTTATGTCAGCAAAAATTGCATAACCAATTCATAGCTACGTTAGAACCTCTAAGTTTCAATATGGAAGTTGTAGAGGTAGAGACTAGTCAAAAAATTAAATAATATGGCCCTGCTATTATTGCAAACAAGATATTCAAAAAGTTTTGTCCCCCACTTTTGCGAAAGCGATGGGACATTAAATCTCATTCTTCTATCAGTCTGTCCGTCTGTCTGTCATAAAAACTTTAACCTTGGCCATTACTTTTGAATAAGAAAAGAAAGGACTTTCATATTCCACATGTACATAACCTGTGACAAGATCTTTTCAAATATATTATTTCTAACCTTGTGACTTTGACCCTGAAGTTTGACCTACGAGGGGTGATCAAGAAGTTAACGAACTAATTGAATTACTTCCATAAAAGAAATATAAATTACAGGTGTCAGTGCTTATAATTTTTTAAAGCAGTCCCCTCCGGTTTAAATGCACGCCTGCCAACGTTCTGGCCATGCGCGAATCACTTGGTCCAGGAGGTCACGTGAGATGTTCGGTTGCGTACTGTTCTCAGAAGCTAGAAGATTTTTTTCCGAGTCTAATATTTCTTATCATGCAGGTTATTTTTTTATTACAAGAATAGTCGATTTGTCATGAATCGCCAAATCTCGGCATCCTTTCCCAGAATGAGCATGGTGACTATCACAACTCGAATTATTTGTCTTGAGTGCGTCGTTTATCCCATGTGGATCAAGTATGGGCACCTTCTCTTTATCATATCTGATATGTTTAAAGTCCAAAGTAAATGATATTTTAGGGATTTAATGATTATCTTATTGTTAAGATATTCAACTATTTTTCTAACTGTAACTTGGTGATCTTTCATATCAAATTGCTCAACTACGGACACATTTCTTTCTCAGCTTACTTTCACTGGGCACCAGAATGAGCATCATTTTTAACCATCTCCCTTCCTTCACTAAATCAATCAATCAAATTAATGATTAAACTTCTGACAATTCCTTTGTATTCATAAACCTTGTACAAATAATTATATGCTACTGCAAAGGAATTTCCAAGATACACGTTAAACTTAACAGCCGTTCCTTGCTCGAGTACGACTGAGTCAACCATTTTTTGTCACAAGTCATCCATATATTGACGTCATTTTCACATTGTGACTTGCAAATCGAATGAAATGTCAAACTCACAACTTATCAATAGCACAATGCTTCTAGCTCTCATCAATATCGCTTAATTAAAAGAAAATATCACTCCACCTTTCGATACAGGTCTCAAGAGATTTCAAAATGCACGAAATCAAAACAAACCTCGACAGTTTGATAAAATGTTTTCACCAGACACTTTATATTACGAAGAAACAATAAAAGCGATACTGGTAAGTACTAAAAGCATTGCACTGTTGATAACACGTGAGTTAGACATTAATATCGAAAATCGACCCGAGAATGCCGCATCCGTTTGGAGGTGGCGAATTTCCACTTTTCATAATGGCGCCGGTTCTGACGTTTTCCTGGCAGGTAAAATATCAAAATGATGAAAAACGCCTGGAAAACGTCAGATATATCGGATTAACAGAAGGGATGTACTTCTCCAACACTACCCCCTAAGTTCATTCTCCCCCTGGGTACAGCTTAGGTACGTCCGAAACTGTCCCGAGGGGACAGAGTGGAATTAATTCATTTAATTTTGTGTCTCCCCATTTGGTAATCCTATAGCAGAAATGTTTTATTGACTGCATTAATAAACTTTTCAACACTTGCTAATTTTCATGAATTTAATTGTAAATCCTTTCAACATTTACAAAGAACAGCATTTAATATTCTCGCAACAACTTCATTAATGCTGTTGTTAATAACAAGGGATCATCCAACAGCAGAATAGTTTGAACATTGCAGTCTTAAATGCAAAATTTAATTCATCATCACTGTAAATATCATTTTCCATAAAAAGGATGGTAAACAACATAAAAAAAGGCATCAGACGAGGTCTCTATCATAAAGGGAATCAGAGTGTATTATAAAGTTATTATTTACCGAAAAATTTGATGAAAAACTATTCCCATATTTTAAAATCAATCAAATGAGATACATGTATTTGCACTTATTCAGTTCTTCAAGCTTTAAATTAAGCTCAGAAGAATTTTGGACCTCCTCCAAACCCGCCCATTCCACTCCTTGATCCACGTGAAAATCTGGATCCACCACTGCCTCTATCATAAAACCCTCCACCAGGCCCAGGAGGAAAATTCTGACCTGGACCAAACGGGTCAAACCGTGGCCTCATTTCAGGCACGTGTCCACCACGACGTCCAAAAATAGGATTTGGAATACCTTTATTTTTAATAAATGAATTGCAATCACATAATAAAAGAATACAGTTTAATACTTGTACATTTCTTTATTTGATATATTCATGTGAAATGATGAAATGTAAGAGATATTTTCAAACTTTTTTATGCATAAATAAAAAGCTAATAATACAAAGTTTACATGTACACATTTTAAGAATTTTCGTTACACAGGATCATAAACAAATCTGGGAAATATTTTTATGACACCATGCCTACCAAATCAGGTAATCTAATTAATAGGTCATTTCATTAGATTTCTCTGCAGGGAATCATTGCAGCTCCTTTAATTAATATGAGCAAAAATAAGCAGAATCTACATTTTCTCACTAACTGATCAATTCAACATATAACTGTTCTTCCCTCTAAAGATATTAAAATTTTACAGAATCTATGATACTGACAAAAAAGGCACATACTGCTTATTCGCATAAGTTACATATATCTAATATACCATTAAAATCATATTACATACCATGGAATTGTGGGTAGAGGTCATAGTCCCCTCCAATCATTCCAGGACTAAATGGGGCCAGTGGGGGTATCCTCTGTGAGTAGGGGTCAGCCGGTATAAAAGGGGGGACGATTGTTGTCATCTGACTCCACCATTTTCTCTGCTGTTTTCTGTTTCGATACTCTGCCTTGTACAACTGAAAATGAGGAAAGGCCCTAACAGTGACACATATCAACTTTATGGTTGCATAATTATGTACATCTGCCTTTTGTCTAATTTTTGTCAAATCTTAGAGCTGGAACAGATTGCAAAAAATATTTCAATCCATTATCATTATGTGATTGACAGGATTCAAAAAAATAATCTTCAAATGTTTTCATAATTCACTTGAGGGAATAAATAGCAAAATCATTTCAAGCTACAGGAATGTCTTCTTATACAATTTAATATCCAATCTGATATCTGAAAATAATCATATAAAACACTTTCATAAACCACTGTTGTATGTTTCTATCCTAAATTATTTACAAATCAATTCTATAATGTTTTTACTTCCAGCAATCACATTCTCTATTTGCAATCCAATGCAAAGCCTACATGTACTATGTAATAATTCATTTTTATATTTAAAAAAAGCTTACAAGACAACTGAGTAAAGTATATGCAATATTTCCTGAATATTTAACAATTTACTATTTAAAAAGGTTTTAATAGACATTCAATTTCTTTTATTTTACTTTGATCAAATTCAACTGACATCAAATGTGTTACCTCTTTCCAGTTTTGGTTTAAGTCATTATGTGCTCGATCTGTCAAAAAAAAATATGTAATTTTACTGCATCTGTTCTCAAGACTGACTGTAAGGTCTTAAGAGTTCCTTTCAATAATTCATTAATATTAGAACTGGGAATTACAAACAATATTTAAGAATACACTTTAGAGAACTAACTATGTCATTTAATCAATGTCTTTGAAAAATTACCAAGCTTCAGTTTGATTTGCTTAATTTGCTTATAATCTACATTTTAAGCTTTTTTGATCTATAAATAACCACACTTACTTCCAAAATGGGACAAAAACAGCCTCCTCCAGATATATTTATCATTACTAAGGCTACGAAATTCCTTACAAACTTCAGACATTCTCAACAAACTGACAACGTCCAAACAGCCCAGGATTTTCAGCTATACAACAAGGATACATCGTACATATCAAAATTAAACAATGCTGTTAAAATTTAATTTCCAACAAGTTTATAATACTTTTGTTTTGGATATTTAATTCAACACTTTACTGTCCATTTTATTTTACACAACTGTAGAGATTTCCTTCCAAAAACGTGCAAACTTTGCACAACATTTGTAAATAAAAAATGTTCTCAGACTGTTAATATAATGCACTTTATCTATGGAACGCCATAGCTGCCTGAAGGTCATTTTCATTTTATATGAAGTGGTATAACCTTTATGTGAAGTGGTTAAGTCATTATATATAGTGGTAAAATCATTATATTCAATGAAAACTTTATTATATGCAGTGGTTTTATCTTTATATACAGTGATAAAATCATTATATACAGTGATAAAATCATTATATTCATTGATGACTTTATTATATGCAGTGGTTTTATCATTATATTCAGTGGCAATGTCATTATATGTAGTGGTTAAATAATGTAATGAAGTGATAGTACCGTTACATTATGCTGTAAAATCATTATATGCAGTGGTTTTTCCATTATATACATTACTGATATCTTTCTGTGATGTGATAAATTCAATATATACAGTACAAATATAATTTGTGTGATAAAGCAATCATTACATTTTATGAAACCCGCTGCATGTGGAGTGCCAAGTTAATTTCATTCAGTGCGACACCTTTACATGAAGTGAAAAATCTATTATGTGCAGTACTAAGATCATTATATTATATAGTAAAATTATTATATATATTCCTAAAATCCTACTTTGCAGTGGTAACATCTTTATATGAGGCGGTTAATTAATTATATGATGTTAATTTGTTATATGATGTGCTCAAATCTTTATATGCATTAGACGTTTCATGTTATGCAGTGGTAACTTCTTTGTCATCATCTAAACTGGTCCTTTTATGCGCGGAGTTCCAGTTTAAAGAGTGTTTGAAAATAGGAAACCCGGGCCGTGGCAAATTAAAAGCCGGGACTATTCGAGATTTTTCTGATTTCTGATTCTATTATACAGCTTCCTGATTTTATCAACTGTGCTGAAATTTTAAGACTCATTTTTATAGGTTAATGTGTATTCGCTGTAAAAATTGCATTTAATTTTAAAATACTTAGTAATTTAGATTTTCTTGGCGATTGTTGATTTCCAAGTTCAGTGGTGGATCCAGGAATCTTGAAAAGGGGGGCCCGACAAGTTTTTGGTCGGGGTAGGTAGCCCACAGCCAAACCAAAAAACAATTGATTTATGAAATCTTATGTATATTTTGGACACAAGGGGGGGGGGGGGGGGGGGGGGGGCGGCGGGCCCCATAGGCCCTCTCTGAATCCGCCAGTGAGGTTGGTAAATCGGGTAGGCAATCAAGTAGACATTTTACGTGTTTTGTTTGTTTGTTTGTTGTTCTTTGTTTTTTTTTTTTTGTTTTTTTTTTTGTTTTTTTTTTTTTTTTTTTTTTGCCATATTTGACAGAAAGCTTATAAACTTTTAAATTATTCTGATATTAAAAATTATTCATTCTTTGAAAGGCATTTTTTGAGTGAAATGACACGTTTAAGAAAAACCGGTTCACATAGGCGTCGGAACCGGGGGGGGGGGCTATTCCCCCCCCCTTTTTTTTTTACAAAGGTAGACATAATATAGGCATTGAAAATTCGGGCGTAGGTCTAGCCTCCCCCCCTCCCCACTTTTTACAGGCACGATTCATTGTAGTGAAAGAAGGGTAATTGGTAGTGTTTAAAAGAATTTGGTACTGAAAGATGTTCGATCACCCCCCCCCCCCCCCCCCATCCACCCACCCACCCACATCCCCGAAATAGGATTTTCGGGTTTGGAGAAAGAACAATCCCCCCCCCTTTTTTTTTTTTGCTTGTCAAGTTTTTTTTTCAGGTTTGATTTTTTTTTCTATTTCAATTAGCCACCCCACTATCAATTTCCTTCCGACGCCAATGGTTCATTAAAATCGGATTTGATCTCCAGGAAGTCAAACATAAAAAATCCGAAATACTTATTCATTATCTACATGCCATTTGATAAAATATAAATTAATTAAAGAATTATCACATATACATGTAATTATAGGACTATTAATGCAAAGCCTTGTGTCAAACTTTAATCACGCGTAAGTTGCTTGGATTAAGGATATCCGATCCTCAGCCTTGAAGGATAACTCTTAATTTTATCATTTTATTCAAAAAGGCTAAAATGATTTTAATTTGGTTGTTTGTTTGCTGTTTAACGTCCCTCTCGAGAATTTTTCACTCATATGGAGACGCCACAATTTGCCAGTGGAGAGCTGCAAAGTTTGTCCTATACTCGACACTAACGGCCATTGAGCAGTGAGAGATTTTTTTCGTGCCAACACCTGCTGTGGAACGGGACCTCGGTTTATGGCTTTATGCGGTCTCTTACGAAGGACCGGTCTCAACGTCCCACTGTCGGATTCGAACCCGTGACGTAAGGATTGACTCCTTATTCCGCGTCTCTTAGAGCAGACACTCTAATCACCGTGCCACGTTGGCGACGGCAAAGATGAAACTTGAAAATGAAATGTTTTCATGCAGCAATTTTTATTTTAAGCATTTCAATGTGATTTAACTCATTTAAGGTTTTCTGAAGTCTTAGAAACAGTCTTATAAATAGTTGATATTAGTAATTTAACACCCTCCACCCCCCCCACCCCCACCCCCACCCCACCCCCACCCCCGAAAAAAGTATTAAACAAATTACATATTTAACGTAATCCAGTTTCTTTCCATCTACTAACAGATAGATACATGTACCAGTGCACATTTGCATATTATGAAATTAGAAATGATTTATGGTGTTTTGCACCAGGTTCTTCCCGGATGATCGGATCTGGTTTAATAATCCTTTTTTTAATGAAAATGTGTATTTTGCATAAAAAGAGCATTTTCAAATAAAGAAATAACTATCAAAAAGAAAAAGCTTTTTAAGTTAAAATACAGTGTTTAACATCGGAATAATTTTTAAGTTTATTAGATTTTTATCAAATATGTCAAAAAAAAAAAAAAAAAAAAAAAACACACACACACACACACACACATAAAATATCGCCACCCCAGTCTACCCATTTTATCAACATGGAAATCAACAATCGTCAAAAAAAAAAAATCTAAAATACTAAGTATTTATAGCACAATGGATAAAATATTAAATCAGAAAATTGAAACTGCCTACCAATTTTACTTGAAACCAAAAATCGTAAAGCGAATCTAAAATACCAAGTATTTAAATACAATTTTTACAGCGAAAACACATTAGCCTAAAAAAAAGAGTCTGAAAATTTTAAATAAGAAATTTGAAAAATCTCGAATAGTCCCGGCTTTTAATTTGCCACGGCCCGGGTTTCCTATTTTCAAACACTCTTTAAACTGGAACTCCGCGCATTTTTTTAAACAAAAGGACCAGTTTAGATGATGATAAAGAAGTTACCACTGCATAACATGAAACGTCTAATGCATATAAAGATTTGAGCACATCATATAACAAATTAACAACATCATATAATTAATTAACCACCTCATATAAAGATGTTACCACTGCAAAGTAGGATTTTAGGAATATATATAATAATTTTACTATATAATATAATGATCTTAGTACTGCACATAATAGATTTTTCACTTCATGTAAAGGTGTCGCACTGAATGAAATTAACTTGGCACTCCACATGCAGCGGGTTTCATAAAATGTAATGAATGCTATATCACACAAATTATGTTTGTACTGTATATATTGAATTTATCACATCACAGAAAGATATCAGTAATGTATATAATGGAAAAACCACTGCATATAATGATTTTACAGCATAATGTAACGGTACTATCACTTCATTACATTATTTAACCACTACATATAATGACATTGCCACTGAATATAATGATAAAACCACTGCATATAATAAAGTCATCAATGAATATAATGATTTTATCACTGTATATAATGATTTTATCACTGTATATAAAGATAAAACCACTGCATATAATAAAGTTTTCATTGAATATAATGATTTTACCACTATATATAATGACTTAACCACTTCACATAAAGGTTATACCACCTCATATAAAATGAAAATGACCTTCAGGCAGCTATGGCGTTCCATATTTATCCCTACCTTTAATTCATTACTCAGTGCTAAAAGTCCATGTAAAGGCACCAAGTTCATAGCTGAAAAATATGGGGGAAAAGAAACATAATTAAAACAAATCTGAGATCTGACTATGATTATTAATCACATCTACAAACTATGGTTGAAGGTAAACTTTGTGTGACTTAATTTTTTTTTTAATAAATGAAAAAATAACACTGCTTTAAAAGAAAATTGAAGACTTGATTTTGAGCCTGATTAATTAATATATATGTAGATAACTTTTATTTTAGCATCCTACACTTTTAGATATAAAGCCTTTAATATGTGGGTGTTTTCTGAGTTAAGAAAGGATATGTTAGAATTTAAAACAAGCTCTTTAAATGAAAACATCATTTTTTTTTTCACGATAAACAAACATAAATTTCAACACTAGATTTTAACATAGTAGTGGAAGTGTCTGTAATCACAGTATTGTGTATGTTACATTGTATTAAGAGGAAAGTATACATGATTTGAATATAACCAGAGACTTTACTATCAGTTTATTTATACAAACAAAATCAAGAAAACAGAATTCAGATTAATTATTGCTCTTTTCACACAGTATCAAGTATAGAATATACAAATGTACTTGCAGTGCATCTACACTCATATTTTGAAATGAATGAACATGCAGATTGATTCATAATCCCTCCTTCTGTGAAGAAAATTTTTTTTAAAAATCTAGCAAAAGGAAGTAATGCAATTAGGAAACCTCTTTATGTTACCATTGTTTCATACCTTCTCTATACTTCTGTAGTAGTGGTAAGGATATAGAATCCTTAAATGTTCTGGACAGCTTTGGTAGATTCTGGTAGCATGTGTTAGGCTCTGTGAAACATAATAGAGAACAAAATATAAAACTACAGTCAAACCTTGTTATCTCAAACTTCCCAGGACCAAGAAAATACTTTGAGATATCCAAGGATTCAAGATATCCAGGGTAAAATACTTAAGAAATAAGCACTTGGGACTTCAAAAATCACTTCGTCATATCCATGGTATTCGAGATATCCGTGTTCGAGATACCGAAGTTTAACTATATACATGTGTCTGTAAGATGCTGGACATATTTTAGACAGCTTACTTCCTCCACAGGTGCTTGAGGACAGGACCCTCTCCTCCCCCAAATATACCTCAAACCAAGGGATTTTTCATTTGTTTTGTTTCATAGATAATTCTTCTAGCACTCATTTACAAAGTGTAAAAAGGGGTGGGCTGGGGTTCCTGTCCACAAGCACCTGTGATGTCTTCATGCTGAATTTTGTTACTCAACTTTTTAAAAACAGTTTACGATGTATGATGAAACATGATTATAAAATTTAACACAAACTTTTCTGAATTTGAAAATAAAGGTTTTCATTTCCAAAATAATATTTATAATCATGTATATACTGTAAATCAACTATTATTCGCAAGTTAAAGTAGGTTGGGAACCTTACGAATTTTTCTCGCACACGAATAAAAGTTGGTTTACAGTATATAATTATAACTTTCATTTACATGGTAATGACTTTTGCAACTTGTTACTTCAACACTATATCTTAATTTTTACATGTATCAACGAGTTCCTATATAGTAACAAAACTTGCAATACAATTATATGTACATGCATGTGTCTCTGAAGACATCTCTACTTTTAAACTATCTTCCTATATGCTGTACAATTAAACAAGATTACTGAGAAAACATGATTTAACAATGATTTTTAAATATTATTTTACAATAAATAATTAACTAAATTTAGTTTAAAGACCTTTACCTGGAGTTACGTTTTGAACAAAATCCTTGGTTTTGAGTTGACACTGACATTTTTCTATATTTTCCTCTATCTTAACTTGACCTATAACAACAAAAAATGAAACAGATAGATAGAATTGCAAAAAAAGTCTTAAATGTGATATCATAAAAACGTTTCAAAATTGGTTTTTTTTTAAAGTTGTCCACATTGCATTGTGCATCTTGATTTATTACTCTTTGTTAGCAAAAAATGAGGCTACCCATGACTCTTACCATGAACAATAAGAGAGGTACCCATGGGTACAGCAGTTACTGTATAGACAGTGGAACCACTTGTGGGGTGTGTGTACTCTAGTTTGTAGAAGGCTGGTGCTCTCTCTCTCCAGGAATCAGTGGGACACACATCTGACTCCAATCGTGTCTGAGGGTTGCAACCAGTATCTGAAGTGATCTGTGTGCGAGGGTTACTATTTAGTGTCTGAAAAAATGTGAAAAAATGGTTTAATTAACATTAGAAAAAAAATTAAACACTGTTTATATGCTTAGTAAATAAATCATTAATTAAAGAATAACAAAATAAAATCAATTATGATTTAACCCTACGAAAAATAATAGCCGATGACATATGTACATGTTCTACAAAGCATTCTCTCTCCTCTCCCTCTCTCAAATGAATACAACAATGACAAGTTTGTGTTCACTTTATGTATATGTTTGTACTATAACAATGTGTATTTCAAACTTGAAAGAAAATCTATAAAACACCTCCAGACAGTAAATAAATAAAATGATTATCTTACAGATGAGATTGGTTGGTACCCAGCCTCTAACATTAACACATGAAGAACCAGACAAAGGGCTTCCTCACAACTCTGACAATGTAAGTCTGAATACAGCTCACTCAACAAAGGAGGCAAACTGCCTTGTATGCATTCACTACACAGTCTTGGCTCACTGAGACATTGGCTAACAACAACAGGGTCTAATGGAAAAACAGCCTCACTTTGGAAATTCTCGGCCTCCATTTGAGAGTCATCTGTTGAACAAGATGGCTGATTATAGGGATTTTGATTTTGTACTGCACTCTGTCTAGACGTAGAGGGATGATCATTTCTGTGGGAACTTGAAGTACTCTGAACCTGTGTGTCTGTCAGTCCCAAGGGTCTATTGGTTGATCTCTGGTTTGAGGGCTGCTTTTGTTCTGTAATGAACATATCTACAGATCTTGATCTTAGAACTGGACCAGAAATATGTAGAAAAACAACAACATTTGGCCCTCAAAGACCTAATATTTAAATTTATGCTTATTAATGTAAAAGGAGAGAACAGGCCACCGGCGATCGAACCCCTCTAACGCCACATTCCTCCCTCCTTAAAGGTCTTCGTCTCCCAAAGACTCCAACCCAGGATCTTCCCCTTTCACTTTCACCTGTCACTTCCATGGCATGGCATGGCACCAAATATAACAGGAGAGGAGAAAAATGTGACGGATCCAACCGGGATTTGAACCTGCTCTACCAACTGAGTTATCAGGCCACTAGCGATCAAACCTGCCTGATGCCACATTAGCATATATTCATTATTCATTATATAAGTGTGATAGAGTGATATTTTATTTTATTAAGTGAATATTATATTATATAGTTCAGTGACTTAATATTCACGTGTATATATTTTATTTTTAGCATCGCGCAGCATTTCGTTTTCACGGAGTTTTGCGCCCACCGTTAATAAAATTAATAAAATACTACAACTTCATTTGGTTTTAATCTTTACTTATGTTCTAGAAGTTCTTACTTATCCTGAGGGCATATAATGTTATTGGTCAGTTTTAGTAACCAAGCTTGTGATTGGTTAGGGACGTTTTTCCCGCCGATCTCTTTGTGTATCGGTCAGACATCTATAGACCATTGAGAAAGTGAGATGAGTATTTTTGGTCATCATTATATACAATATTAATTTTGAGACGAGACCTCAGGACAGAGACTGTAAGTTGACTTCTATTTCTTTTATCTATACTAATTCTTATTCTATACTTTCCAATAATTCATCGTCTTTGATTTTTAATGTAATTTTGTGAAGATATACTGAGTTCAACTTTATCATTATTAAATGAAGCTTAAAGTATAAATTCTTTGAGTATGTAAATAAAATATCAATTATGCAGAAGTGTATATAGAATATAATTATTGTTTAATAGGAGTCTATATATCAAGACCCGTTATTTTTATCGGGTGGCCATTGTTTGAGCCTTGATCCACAATCAGGTATACCTACAATTATTTTCTATTTATTGTGTATATATTATTGCAAATAGATTTGTGAACTATTCATTTTATTTGTAATAGTTCTATTTGGAATAGTTCGATTTATATTCTCGTTTTCAAGACGTCGATGTAAGGGAAATAACTCTTACTTTTCCATGTATTTATTTCAATGCTCAGTATAATGTGTAATACTTTTATGATCGATTATTATAAAGTAATTTATGCCTAAATTCATGAATATCATTATAAATGTAATAAATAAAATGGCGCCCATTCTGTAACAGGGTTTTCTTATGGTGTTAAAGAAGAACTCCTGCGTCTAAGGTTCAATCATTTTATTTTGTCATGTTGAATAAATAAATACATCAATAAAGCCCTGAAAATATCAATAACAAATTATAAGTATTTAGAAAACAAACAACCATATTACATTTATAATGATATTCATGAATTTAGGCATGAATTACTTTATAATAATCGATCATAAAAGTATTACACATTATACTGAGCATTGAAATAAATACATGGAAAAGTAAGAGTTATTTCCCTTACATCGACGTCTTGAAAACGAGAATATAAATCGAACTATTCCAAATAGAACTATTACAAATAAAATGAATAGTTCACAAATCTATTTGCAATAATATATACACAATAAATAGAAAATAATTGTAGGTATACCTGATTGTGGATCAAGGCTCAAACAATGGCCACCCGATAAAAATAACGGGTCTTGATATATAGACTCCTATTAAACAATAATTATATTCTATATACACTTCTGCATAATTGATATTTTATTTACATACTCAAAGAATTTATACTTTAAGCTTCATTTAATAATGATAAAGTTGAACTCAGTATATCTTCACAAAATTACATTAAAAATCAAAGACGATGAATTATTGGAAAGTATAGAATAAGAATTAGTATAGATAAAAGAAATAGAAGTCAACTTACAGTCTCTGTCCTGAGGTCTCGTCTCAAAATTAATATTGTATATAATGATGACCAAAAATACTCATCTCACTTTCTCAATGGTCTATAGATGTCTGACCGATACACAAAGAGATCGGCGGGAAAAACGTCCCTAACCAATCGCAAGCTTGGTTACTAAAACTGACCAATAACATTATATGCCCTCAGGATAAGTAAGAACTTCTAGAACATAAGTAAAGATTAAAACCAAATGAAGTTGTAGTATTTTATTAATTTTATTAACGGTGGGCGCAAAACTCCGTGAAAACGAAATGCTGCGCGATGCTAAAAATAAAATATATACACGTGAATATTAAGTCACTGAACTATATAATATAATATTCACTTAATAAAATAAAATATCACTCTATCACATAAGCCTATTAGCATTCAGCCAGTTACATAATTAGAATACTTATATAAGCATGTATTTCAGTAAACATAATGGTAAATTCCTATTTTTAAAGACAAAACTCAATTTGACCTTTTACTTCCTCTGGATCATCACTGACGACATGGAGGAGATCCCCTGATACTAGTCCTAAATCTGTCAAAGTCTGGTTCCCCTCCCCAAGTCTATCCTTCTTATTCAAACTCAAGTAAAACGACCTGCAAATAGAAAATTTATACACTAACATATTTCTTAACAAAAAGAATGTTGAGTCATATATAACAGGTGTATAACATTGTATTTTTTAAGATATTATGGATCCATTTCTTACGTACTCCATATATATTTTGTAAATTGAAAAAAAACAAAACATTTTATGCACACTTTTAATTAGAAGGAAATGGAGAGAAAACCAACAGATATAAAAGAAATGGTGTTATGGTATAAAAGGTACTGCATTTTTGCTCTGTTTTATGTACATGTGTACATGATATTTCATAGACAAATAATTTCAATGATTATGAGATTGTAGCAAATTGTTGAGATTTTACATGATGTAAACATAAATGTGAACTGAAACTGAAGCCTTAAAGGGGCTGGGACACAGATTTGAAGCTCATATTTTCTAAAGTTTTCTAACTAATATCATGACCTATATTTTGCTAGAGCATTTCACACCGAAATATATTAAAAGTGTGTTTAGAAACTTCTTTTATCTGGAAATTATTAAATCTACGAATTTCAAGACACATTTGATTGACACAAATCCTTGCACTTTCACAAAGAAAACTTTATCCATAATACTCAAGAAAAGTAGAAATTTCATTGTGTATTAAGGAAAAATATGAAAACTATAATCCAGGAAGTTCAGAGTATAAGAAATGCAAGAAAGCAAAACCAACTCACCAGTATTGTCAGTGCATGCTCAGCGATGTGTGCAGACTAAACAAATTAAACACACCCGATAAAACGTAAACGAGCTTGTGCCCTGTTTACAAGCACAGGTGATTCATGTGATGTTATAAAGAATGTTGTTGTCACTGAATTCTTATAATATTAATGCAAGTTCAAATCATTAACTGAAGTTATTTTTTTAATAAAAATACACAATTAAAATTGTAAACAATGCAACTGTGTCCAGACCCCTTTAAGACTTATCCACCTCCAAGGTGTGTGTTTTTGTTTTTTTTTTTTTTTGGGGGGGGGGGGGTAATGTGAGGTAACAAATTGTTTCGGCCTTCTTTTTCAGTTCGAACATACAGTAGATCCCTCTTTGAAAATGGAAAAACTGTCTTTTAAGTGACACCCTACTTCAGAATTTAAATTAAAAACAAATAAATTATTTGTATAACGTTACATCCATCAGTCCATGGCATGAGATGGTTACGAGGCCGTTGCTTTTTACCTCTTTAATATACCAGAAAATGCTTCTGAGACAGCGGCTTCTAGACGACACAGTGTCGTACTGGACTCGTCTCTTTCTTCCACTGATACATTTCTGCTCACATCTTTGTATTTCACTCGAAATTTCATGCTGACTTAGGAGTTAGGTACTTCAAATGTCTGTTTATCAATATTAGTATTTCCTCCTCAGTACGTTGAAGAGTTCCCTTGCGGGAGTTATTCCGCTTTCGTCAATATATTAGTTAGGCCGAGTGGCTGCTACATGTACAAGAAAAGGTTACAAAAAGGTGTCCTTAATATTTTTATTTAGCTTTTGTCAAATAATTTATACCTTAATGAACATTTGTGTGGGCCTTAAAAGAGTTAACACTAAACATTAAAAATAATTAAAATTGTACTTAAAACTCTATTTCGTGCCATTAGCTGTGTAAAGTGGTACAGTAGCATTTTATAATGATTTAGGCCAGTGATAATAAGTTTACAGCTGTCATAGAAATTCATCTTTTAATGTCTTTTTCCTAGAACTCACACCCTGATGATTATATTGGTGACACAATCTAGTATATCAAATCTGTTAAAAACCGCTACATTGTTAGGAAATGAAAAGACTTCCGGGTATCCAAGTGACCTTTTTGAACTTGGAGACATGTGCGTTACCAGGAACTTTTTTTTAAAATGTACCCGCCAACTGTCGCAAAATCTACAATTAGGCTAGTGATAAATTAATGACCAGTTTTAGGAGCACAAGGATCATCTTTGCTGTTATGAATTCCGTAATATGAATTCCATTATGTAAATACAACGTTATATTAATAGCAATTTCATGAAAAGGAATAAAAAGCTTTCTAAGAATTCGAACTGATGAACTAACTCGATTTTTGGGGAGAATGAAAATTTAAGTAACAAATTGAACCGAAAGAAATCATATAATATTTTAAAGACATCAAACAGCTGTGTAATAGAACATTACCTGTTATATTAAAGATTACAAATTAAATACATACATGTACCTGCTGTGTACTTTTCTAAATTTTCAATTTAATTCTATGTCTGTTCATTTAAAAACTTAATTACAAAAGGAAGTATATATACGCACAATTTCGGAAATCAAATTGATATTATTTATGGTAACGGAGCTAAACATTTCAGACGTGCACGTGCGCTTTTTCGCGCCCCCTCCCCCTCCAAAAAATAATAATTAAAAATATTAAAATACTTTATTTAAAATTAAAGGAGATTCATTTCATCTGATATAGAAGGTTTGTTGACTTGTATAGTTTTGATCTATAAATGTATTAGTGTCGTGCACTTTTTCTGAGTGTCAAGTCATCGAAAACGAAGATGACTAGAATTTAATATTACTTCTTTTGCACTCTGTTTCATGTTAATTGCATCACATTAGCCGTCATTAACATTTATATCATCTCGGAATATTCTCCTGTTATTCTCTTTATGAATGAAAATCGTCAATTAATGAGCTTTGATTGCGAGTTTAATTGACAATTTTTATTGTGAGAATTGTTTTTTCGTCCGACTTTAGAATTTACGGTGTGACTTGCCAGATTCATTAACGCTGATAAAAGGGTGTCATTCAAACAGAATGCATTTTCTGCTTTTGTTCAGCTGGGCACGTGCACTCGATTTTTGTTATTTTTGCATTTTATTTCCATCTGTCGAACGATGTCTCATAACTTCTTGTCATTCCACCAATTAGACCAAGTTTGCGAATTGAGTTAATGAAGGAACCTAGAATGTTTTTCCGTTCGAATTCATTTCCTTCTTATCATACAATTAATCTTAGATCTGCATTACCTTAGTAGAACATCGAACCTAACAATCCGAGCGACCTAAATACATACGTGTTACATGCACATAAAGAAAATGAGGAAATCTTTTATTTCTATAAATAAATGAAAGCTGACTCAGTATGATTTGTTAGGGAGAAGCATGTTATATATGATAATTATATTGACAAATTCTAAATTCATTCTTTATTTAGAATTTATTCCTTGGTAGAAGCGGTCCATTTTCGATACTGAGTGACCTATGATTCCTGCATGTACAATTTATAAATGACTCCCATTGTGGATATTCTCAGTCCGAGAGTTCGATCGTTCCAATATATTTTATCATATCTTGCTAATACAGATTAATTGTACTCAAGGCCGTAACTACCATTGAGGCAAGTGAGGCAAATGCCTCACTAAATTTCAGAGTTTTCTGAAAAGTGGGAAAGTTTAACTTTGAACTTTAATTTATTATATGTGTCTTTGTACTTTCAACAACTGTTCATCTTTTGTTTTAATTTCTGTAAATCGATCATCTCACCAGGTGTTTCATTATCGTTTAGAACACATGTAAACATAATTCAAAACGTGAAAACTTTCAAAGATTAAGTCTTTAATTTCCTAAAACCCAGGTTTCGTGACCCTCTCCCCCTAAGAACCCCCATCAGGACACTTCCCTCGACCCAGATCCCAGATCGGGTAGTCCCAGATCCCTTGCCTCACTAAAAATTTGAGTCTAGTTACGGCCTTGGTACTAATATATGTAAGACCTTTAATTTTGTACAAGTTCATCTCTGAAAGGTAAAGGTCACCATTGCAGGGAATCAAATAAATCTCTTTTCATCGGAGTAACATATTCCAACAAAGACCCTTGTTACATACCTGTAACTCCTTTCAAATCTTTCCTTTGTGATCTGTTTAATCAGATATTTTAATTTTACCTCATTAAAGAGTACGATTGCTACATGTAGTGCTATTGTTGCTGTAACTGTTGTTGCTATTTTTGTTTAACCGTTTTTACTTTTGCAATTGTTGTTTAAACTGTTGTATCTTTTGCTATTGTTGCTGTCACCGTTGTTACTTTTGCTATTGTTGCTGTTACTGTTGTTACGTTTGCTATTGTTGCTGTCACTGTTGTTACGTTTGCTATTGTTGCTGTTACTGTTGTAACGTTTGCTATTGTTGCTGTTACTCTGGTTACTTTTGCTATTGTTGCTGTTACTCTGTTTACTTTTGCTATTGTTGCTGTCACTGTTGTTACGTTTGGTTTGTTGCTGTCACTGTTGTTACTTTCCTATTGTTGTTGTTACTGTTGTTACTTTTGCTATTGTTGCTGTTACTGTTGTTACTTTTGCTATTGTTGCTGTTACTGTTGTTACTTTTGCTATTGTTGCTGTTACTGTTGTTACGTTTGCTATTGTTGCTGTTACTGTTGTTACGTTTGCTATTGTTGCTGTTACTCTGGTTACTTTTGCTATTGTTGCTGTTACTCTGTTTACTTTTGCTATTGTTGCTGTCACTGTTGTTACGTTTGGTTTGTTGCTGTTACTGTTGTTACTTTTGCTATTGTTGCTGTTACTGTTGTTACTTTTGCTATTGTTGCTGTTACTGTTGTTACTTTTGCTATTGTTGCTGTTACTGTTGTTACGTTTGCTATTGTTGCTGTTACTGTTGTTACTTTTGCTATTGTTGCTGTTACTGTTGTTACTTTTGCTATTGTTGCTGTTACTGTTGTTACGTTTGCTATTGTTGCTGTTACTGTTGTTACTTTTGCTATTGTTGCTGTTACTGCTGTTACGTTTGCTATTGTTGCTGTTACTATTGTTACTTTTGCTATTGTTGCTGTTACTGTTGTTACTTTTGCTATTGTTGCTGTTGCTGTTGTTACGTTTGCTATTGTTGCTGTTACTGTTGTTACTTTTGCTACTGTTGCTCAAACTGTTTTTACGTTTTTATTCCTGTAACTGTTGTTACTTTTGTTATTTGCTGTAACTGATGCTGATATTGTTGCTGTAGCTGTTGCTGCTATTGTTGCTGTAACTGTTGTTGCTATTAGTGCTGTAGCTTTTCTTGCTGTTTTTGTACTAACTATTGTTACTGTTGTTATTGTTGTTAGAGTTGTTGCCATTGCCATTGTTGTTTTGTTGAGCAGTTGTAACTGTTGCAATTTTTGATGCTGGTTTAGTAGACTTATTCGTGAAGCTTTCTTTACTACAGACCCTGCAGACTACGGGCTTTTATAGGATTATTTTAATTATACTTACTGTCTACTTAGTGAACGCTGTAATTATATAGCTGTATTTCAATAATATCGTGCATGTCCGACACATTGCATATGAAATATAATTTCGAAACTGGGTTGAACACGATATGCACCAAAGTTAAGCAATAGACACTTTGAACCAAATGACTTGTGTTCGTTTTAAATTTCCAAAGCTCATCAATCATTTTTCGTTTCTATATTGAACAGCATGCCAGACCTTGTCATTCGCTTTAAAAAATTTTAAAATAGACGTAAATGACGAGAGTTGTCAGCGACGGCAGTTTTTATGACATCTACAAATTATGACAAAACAAACATTGCAAAATGGCGGTAAAATGAACACTCTAGTTCTGTTTTAGATTAATTGTGCGAAAGACTCAATGCACGCGATTGAATCGATTGACTCTATCGCAAAATCTGATTCAGTTGATATCAATATCTGTTTGATTTTGTTTTCTAGAGTTATCTACATCGATATCTCCTCTTGAGGGCGGCATTTTCCGTCAAATCTTTTGACTTTTCCGCTCATTTGTTAAGCTTCTGTTTAACTGGTCGTATAAAAACCTCATTGTCAAGTATTATGTTTTATTGTCGTTCCTAATCCCTTACTTATTGGTTAGGCTTAGACATTGTATGTTTATGAGGTTAAATCAACGCCTGTTTGAATGCTGTCTAAGGCGGGGTGACAGGAAGTTAAAAAGCAGTTGTTCTCGGAGAAAACGGTCCGACATTTCTCGTATTTGGCAGTTCCTTGCACGTATTCCTAGGGATTGTCTAAGAACTCGTAAATTAGGGCCATTTTTGAAAGAATGACAAGGTATAATAGCTAAAAAATATTGAAAACAACACTGCCTGCGATAACTGATATTGTGCGTCAATCCAGATTCCACAAATATACTCAGACACCCTGGCCTTGTGCGCTAATGACCTCGTTGTGGAAATTGAAAGACTGGGTACTAATTTTACCCTTCCCAGAGGAGTTCTCTCCCTGTGTGTTAATCATGAGTTAATTATTGACGATTGAGAATTTTTCCTTCTAAATGACGTTTCCTGACAGAATGGGTTAAAAAATATCGACTACGGTCCGAATTAATCACCTTC